CCTGGCTGGCTTTGAACTCACAGCAGTCCTGCTGCCTCAGCCTCCCAAGTGCTGGGATTACAGGCATGTGCCACTATGCCTGGCTACCTTGCCTTCTTGAAGGTGGAATTTCCTTCTGCTTCCCTCTCAAGGACACACAAGATGCAGTTATGGTCTGCCAGGATAATCCAAGATACTTCTTTTCTTAAGACCCCTAATTTCAACACATCTCCAAAGACACTTTTCCTAAGTTAGGTAACATTTACAGAGTCCATGAAATCAGACCTGATGTATTATTAGGATCTATTATTTAGCCTACTACAAATGGAAATTTGACTGGTGGTTGTTTAGGGCCAAGGATGCTGTGAAGGAAATAAAGTTTACTTTTGGAATGATGAAAATATTCTAAAATTGATTGTAATAATGTACAACTCTGAATATATTAAAAACTATTGTTATACTTTAAATGGGTGGATTTTATGAACAGTGAATTATGTCAATAAACCTATTACATATTTTTTTTTAATGGAATCAGTTCTTGTGGACCCTCTGCATAGGCCCTGAAACTCTTGGGCTAATATCTGACTCCCACCCACCTGCCCTGCAGTTGGGGACTGCGAATGAGATTGAAAGTGCACGGAGTACTGCAGTCTTGTTAGCAAGAGTGCATCCAAGGCCTTCTCTCGGTATTTCTGAGTGTCTTCTTCCCACAAGGCCAGTGTTGTGTGGTTGGGGGTTTGAAGAGTGGCAGCCTGACTGTTCCCGTTAAAGCTCCCCATTATTATCTGATGGTTCCAGTGTTTAATTATGGATTGCAAAATAGTAATTGTCCTTAATGGTGACTCTTCTCTCATATTTATAACATGGAATTTTTCTGTCAATAAGCTTTTTCTCACTGGGCATGGTGGTACATACCTGTAATCCCAGCACTCTGAGAAGCTGAGACAGGAGGATCACAAGTGCAGCCCCAGATTGGGCAGCTTTGTGAGACCCTGTCTGAAAAATAAAAACACTTAAGAAGCTGGGCATGGTGATATACTCCCATAATCCTAGCACAAGAGTGGCCCAGGCAGGAGGATCTCCATGAATCTGAAGCCAGCCTAGACTACATAGTGAGCTTAAGGCCAACCTGAACTAAATAATGAGACCCTGCCTCAAAACAAAACAAAACAAAACAAGACCTGAGGATGTAGCTCCATGATATAAGTGCCCCCAGGACAAAAAAGATGAAGCTGCAAGTCAGGCATGGATGCACATGCCTGTAATCCAAAGTGTGAGCCCATCCTGGGCAATTTAGCAAGACCTAATTCAAAATAAAAAAGGGCTGAGGATATAGCTCAGTGACTTGGCCCTAGATCCGGCCTTCACTACCAATAAACAACAACAAAGGCAGCATTTTCTGTGCAAGAATGTTCTTGTCAGTCTTCCCAGTGCAAGGACTGCCTCAGAGGCTAGGGATGGATCTTCTTCCAGTAACATTTTAAACTCAGGGCTGTGTATCTGGTGCGTTGCAGTCTGTTTCATTGTGTACAAGGTCCCATCCACATGCCCAGTGGCAGTTCCTGAGGCCTTCCTATCACTCTTGGAGCTCCTTACATGACCTCTTTTTTATTTTGTTTTTTACATGACCTCCTTTAGTCTTCTGTAGCTTGCTGGCATTTAGGCCCCCAGATGGCTTGTTAATCTAAGGTCCTTTTTTCAGGGTGAAATGGCATGCAGAGTATGCAGTTGCGGGCACTGCTCTGCTTATTGCTTTTGGACCTTTTTTGTGAACAGATCTGAGAAATAACATGTGTTTGAAATAATAACAAAAAAGCCCCATAATTTCACACTGATGTTTCCAGTTCAAATTAACCTTACAGGGTTTTCTTTCATTTTAAACATAAATCTATTCTGTTACTATGAATATCTTGGTTTCTAATATCATTAGTGTAACTGCTTGCTTTTTCTCAGATATTGTCAGAATGAACAGCTTAATATTACCACTAATGACAAAATGTGGTCTAAAAGTTTAAGATTCCTTTATAGTCCTTTTTGTCCTTAAAATGTAGACCTTGCATTGAGAACATACAGTTTTGGTTCTTGGTTTCCTCTTTTTTTTTCTGCCAAAGGCCTCTCAAAATACTTTTTCCTGTATGATTCTGCCATCAACTTGATACCCAACTCATTTGTTTTGGTTGATTTTGAATTTTTAGAAATTGTATCTTTTTCTCTTGATTCTGTTCTATATTCTCAGTTGTAAAAATTTTACATATTTTCAAAGTGAAGGTAGGTAACAGGTTTGGAAAAGGCTCATTTCCAACCCAGATCCTGACACTTGTTTATCTGTGATTTTGGTTGTCTTTCCAATGTCTTATGTGGCGAATTAAGTAATTCTGACTTCCCACGTCTTACTCAAAAAGCAATGAGTAGTGCGGTGTGTGACAGGTAGTATTTTATAAGAACTGTGCATGTTCCCTTCTGCTTTTTCCTTCTTGGTGCTTACTCCATGATATTTTGTTACGCCTCTGAAGACTTGTACTGTATACATAAGCAAATGTTGAAAGTTGTGAAGTTTTTCTGTGTATTTTGTTTGTGTGTGTGCGTGTGGCGCCAGAGTTGAGACCCAGTACCTCATAAATGCTAAGTACCTGCTGTACACTCCTAGCCCCCCTTCCTTTTTAAAAATACTTTTCTTCTGATCCATGGATCAAGACTGTCAGTAGTATTTGCCTTACTGAGTTGTTGGGAGAATTAAAGGTATTAACACATCTGAAGTTTTTATAGCCGTGCTTGGCACTTTGTAACTGCCCAAGTATTGGCTGCTCTTATAGGGTTTGTTGTTCATGGTCTAGTAAGACCCAGTCTTGGGTACAGCTTGGACATTGAAGTTTTTGATAGTGAGCAGGGGAGGTGGAGCAAAGATAAAGACAGTTTCATGCTCCTCAGCCCTTGTTCTGAAACTGACCTGGCAGAGTTGGGGTACTTCGGAATGGAAAGAAATGCCATTATCTTTTCTCTATCTGGTCAGAGCCTGAGAATCCTCCCACCTGGAAATGTCAGTACACCAGCATTTCCAGACAATGAGCAGCCAGAGAGTGAAAGGCAGCCCAGCCCAGAGGTCAGATCCAGGGTCTCGTGCAGAAAGGAGCTGTTGTAGCAAACCCAGGGTCAACTCCTGTATGATCCTGGACAACCTGCCTTGGGAGAATGTAGAAAATGCATTTTACCTCCAAGAAGGCTCCTTGGCCACCAGGGTGACTGCTTCCTGTGCTCATTCTCACATCAGGCAACCCATCCATTCCACGTGGTTTGCAGAGCCAGACTACCTCAACGCCCGCCCCTGCTGTAGGCCAGAAATGGCAGCGGATATCCAGCATGGTGATATCTATATAGTACCAGGCACTGGGCTGGTAGTAGGTCCTACCTATGTACTGCCTCTGTGTGGAAGCAGCTTGAGAACTTGTTCCTTGAGCTCTCTTTAGCATATCTTCTGTCAATGTAAACATAGCTTATTCCTTGTGAAACCTCCTTCTTCCTATTCTGTGTTTCATGGTAGTAGAGAAAACGTCAGAAAAATTTTTACAGTATCACAGACCTACAAGATAAGTCCAAGGTGCTAATGACAGGTTAGGTATGGACTTAGCTAGTTCCAGGTTCTCTTTCCCTCCCTTTTGACTGACTTGTTTCCATTCCTGAGCTTTCTGTGGTCCCCCTGCACCTGCACTGCTCCTGACTCACCACACTGCTGTCCTTTAGGGACCAGACCTTATGGGGCAGCTGACTGTGGAGGGCCCCTTTACCTTCAGAACACTGTCTTTCCAACCAAAAATTGATGGAGTCATTGGAAATTGGGAGTGTTGGCAGAATCTCTCAGTGACCCTTTGTTCCGGCAGTTCCTCCCTACCCCTCTCTCTTTCCCTGTCCCTTTGACGGATCTCCCAGCTTTTCTTTCCTGGTCTTTTCCCCTTTCTGTTACCTTGCTCTGATTCCCCAAAATGAAAAACATAGTAGGGTGGAGTGTGGAGATGGGCAATAGGTATTAAAGATGTAGACAGTGCTCTTTAATTTCCACCCTCATCCAGTCCACAGTTGTTTTCTGTCCCAAACCACTGCTTGTCTTGTCTGTCTGCTGAGGGAGGGACTCAGCACCCTGGTGACTTGGGAGGACAGTTGTGCAAGCAGGGCAGGACGGCTTCCTTGCTAGAAGGGATGGGCATTTCTATGGAGGGGAAAGATGCTTCTCTGAAGTAAGAGTTAACTCAGGCATCACTTCCTTGGACATAGAACAGATTTACTGTGGTGATTTACCTACCTAAGAGTGAGTATCTTTGGGTGCAGAAAGGATGGTTGTTGGAAGGCAGGCCCTACTAGGTCCTTCCAGAAACATGGCATCCTGGACAGATGGCCTGAGCAAGCAGTGGCCTTCACTTGTCTCCTTTCGCTGTTGCTTCCCTGTCTTTTGCTGGTGCAGGTAGCAGAGGAACATAGATTCCCTGCAGGCACAGCCAGATGCGCCCCATGCAGATTTGTGTGCACATCACACATCACACAACAGCAGAGGAAAGGCAGGAACAGGCTGGGTGTGAAAAGTGAAAGCACGTCCATACCGATACCAAAGGCAACAGTGGCAGGCCTGTGTCTGCTTTGAATAGGCTTTCTGACCTCAGGCCAGCTCTTCAGCCCACTGTGAGAAGAGAGACTTAAAATGGCTCCCTGCTCTCTCAGCTGAGGGCTCTTTACATTAGGGTGGAGCAGCTGCCTTTTGAAGGCTCTCTGTGCCCGTATTGTGTCTTTGTTTCTTTGTACCTTTTACTGGCTGCAGAGTAGGGCACTGACAGCTCTTCTCTGAGAGATGGATTCCAGAGGAGGCCAAGCCTGGCTGAGCAGCTGCAGCCATCTCAGTCAGCCCCAGAGGCCAACAGGCTTGCAGGAAGAACCTCCGCTGGGTGGCCAGGCAGGGCAAAGGGGTGGGAGGGGGAGTCACATGCCTGTGCTGCTTCTCCATTTGGGATTAAACTACTTCCTGTTTTTACTTTTAGGACGAATATCTTTCCCTTGTGGCCAGGCTCATTATCCATTTTCGAGACATTCGTAAGTAAGATTTCACATTTCTGGGTTGTTATGACTGTGAGAGACCAGCTCTTCTGGTGTTCAGTAGAGGCTGCCCAGGTGGGCTGCAGGGCCAGAGTTGGAACATCAGTGTCTGCTGCCTGCTTCTGGGAAGTTCCTCACTGCAGGATACTTGGTTCCAGGTTCCTTATCCCCCACCCCACCCACAAACCTCAGCCTTGAAAATGCAGATTCTGACATGATGGGAATGTTGGCCTCAAAGTGACCAAAACTGGGCTGCTATTCTCACTTGTCCACTTGATCTCTTTTTTTTTTATAGGACTTTTGTTTTTTAACCTCCAGGCAGTTCTTAAATAAGCAGTTTACCCTGGAACAAACACTTCCCAATTGGTTTTGTGGCCCCAAGAAGGCCTGACCTAATGTGTGTTTCTGTGAAACTGTGTTTCTGAGGTTGTCTTCCTGAGTCCCTACTCCTTGCTCCTATTTGTCCTGAGGTTCCCCTCATTTTACATTGTGTCCTCTCTGATTCAGAATGTCCACTGTGGTTCTGTCAGTGTGGCCAGGCAGTGGCCCCAGCTCTTCAAAAATGCATTGTTGGGGCTGGGGGTTTAGCTCAGCAGCAAAGCGCCTGCCTGGCAAGTGCAAGGTCGTGAGTTCAGTTCCCGGTACCGGAGAAAAACAAAAAAAAAAAAAAAAAAAAAAAGTGCATTGTTAAGAGAACTTCAGAAGTGAGACATCATGGTGCCTTTGTGTGTTTCATGGAAGCACGTGGCCCTGAGTGCTCCTGGATGGCTAATAGCCTGTGAAGGAGACTGGAGCTGGTGACCACTTTGGGGTCCTGCCAACAACCCTCTTGCCTACCCATTTGTGTAATCAGTGAAGATGGGCTTCTCCTGACACAAGCTTGTCACCATTCCCTTGTGGCTTAGTGACACTTGGAATATGGATTGTAGAGGCAGCTACAGCTGCAATGTCAATTGCTGAGGGCAAAAAGAGACATTAAGAGCCTGAGGTCAGTATAGTTTGCTTCTTCCCACACTAACTTTTTACTAGAATGGGCAGTAAGATGGATTCATGAGATCTCATTGCTTTGGGGTGTAGAAAGACCTGGGAAGTGTGGGAGAAGAGGATCCAGGAATCTGGGAATCAAGCATCCAAATGTCCTGGTACACACACACACACACACACACACACACATACACACATACACACGAGCACAGCTGCGCTCGTCAGGACAGTACACACACACACACACACATACACACACACACACACCCTGCTGCGCTCATCAGGACAGTACACACACACACACACACACCCCTGCTGTGCTCCTCAGGACAGCACACACACACACACACACACACACACACACACACCTGCTGCACTCGTCAGGACAGTACACACACACACACACACACACACACACACCCTGCTGTGCTCGTCAGACAGTACACACACACACACACACACCCCCCTGCTGTGCTCATCAGGACAGTTGCCTGCTGACACACATGATCCTGAGGGTCTCATGGGCTCACATGGAGGGGCTATCAGGAGTCGCTGAGCCACTGACTATTTAGCAGTTCTTTCCCATGTGCTGGGGCCAGCTAGACCTGGTCTCCAGCCAGCCTCAGACGTCTTCTGTTTCCCCACCTAGGAAACCAGAGTGGGATGAAATGGAAGTGTTGTCAAGTTCTCGGCTCCATAATGGGTTCCTATTGCTCTTTTGTTTGAGGCCCAGAACCCAAGCTGAAATCCTGGACCTGGAAAGAAGGAAAAGTAGAGTAAACCTGGAGGCCTAGAACCCCACCTCAGGGTGCCTCAGCCTTGGAACAGTTCCCTGAGGCTCCAGGTGGACTCTTGCGAGGGTATTTGTCCTGTGTCCCCAGGGACCCTGTGTGTTCTGTGCTGCCAGGAACAGACATCTCCTCCCCTGGTTGCCAGAAGTACCAGTGGTTCCTTGGAGTTGAGGCTCTGAGATCTTTTACCTTGTTTTTAGGCAGAGTTAGTTCAGTCTTAGCAAATGACCTTTAGTCAAATGCCTTACAAAACTGTCTTTCCTGTGGAAACATGTTTATATAAAACTCTGTTTACTTTTTTTTTTCTGTTTGTATACAGATAACAAGAAATCTCAAGCTTCTGTCAGTGGTAAGAGTTTTTTCTTTTAAAATAAAGTTTTTCCCAACCTCAGACTGGGGGCAGCAAGTGTGTGTGTCAGGATTAACTTGTTGCTGGAGGAGAATGTTCAGGAGGTCTCCGGCAGGGTGGAGGCTAACCAGCTGTGTCCCAATCTCTGTTCCACCCTTCATCTTTCTACAGACTGAAGTCAGATGATGCCTCTTCATCCTGTTTCACCAGCAAAAAAATTATGCAAACTCACAAAGCTGTTACTCATTATCTAAAAATTTTGAGCTCTCTGGGAGAGAACTGTTACTGTATATTCAGTATAATGAACTCTAATAGCATGTCTTAGAAGATGTAAATTCAGTTCCTTAAGTTATAAAATTTCTTTGCAAAGTCAGAAGTTTTTCCATTTTAATTTCAAGGTTTTATCACATCAGGGGACTTCTGCCAGTTGAGCCCTGGTCTCTGCTGCCGAGGATGGGGTTGAGCCAGATTCAAGCTGGCCTTGATCTCCAGCCTTTCAGGAAGGGTGTGAGCTGACACTACAGTCTGTGTGTCTGTGTGTCCTGCCCTACACAGGGAGTGGTAAATGATGGGTGCCCCTGCCTGTGTAGGCCCCACCTCAACCTGTACAGTGATTCTTGACCTATGAGGGCTGGGAAGGTCAAGTACATGTGGAGAATGCTCTGTGGCATTGGAGTGTGGGGTCCTTGACGCTACTCAGTTTTGTGGAAAGGTGACCCAGCCGGACCACACCTATTTCCACATTACTGTTCACCATGAGTGCACACTCTTGTGATGATGGCATCAGGCGAGGCGGTCTGTGGTTGTGACATTGCTCACTGAGTGGAGTGTGCTTTCCCGAGGAACTTAGCAAGCCTAGTTTGCCCCTCAGCACTCTGTGAAACTCTCTTGTACATCTCAGCCTCTGGTGTACTGCTTCTGGCTGCACAACTGTGTTGGGGCGGCATCCTGCAGAGACTTGGCAGCAGAGGAGGGGCATTGGTATATCAGCCTGCTTATGCCCTCCTGGGGGACGTCTCCCTGACTTCTTCATCTCTGCTCTGACCACAGTGCTTCCACCTGCTAGAGAGATGGGCCCCTTTGTTCTTTGTTTCTGAAAGTTCCTACTGTGTGCTCACCCAGCATGGGGTCTTGGCAGCCACGTCATGGCTGCCATTTGCCTTTGAGGCCTCAGCCCATCTTTAGACTAACTGCCAGTGCCAGAGGAATCATTTCTTGCCCAGCGCTAGGACCCTGACCCAGCCCAGAGTACGGGCGGAGTGTGCTCCTTGCTCTCATGTGGCTCGTGTTCTGGCAGCATTGATCAACATACATATCCTGGCTCTGGGACTCTGGCTGTCAACTTTCAGGACTTCCTGGGGGTAAAGCATATAAATGAGAGGATGTCTGTGTCCTGTGAGCCTCACCTGTGAACCTGTCCGGCCCTGGGTACTTTGCTGAGATGCTGCTTGTTTATGTTCCCACAGACCCTATGAACGCGCTGCAGAGCCTGACCGGTGGACCTGCCGCAGGAGCAGCTGGAATTGGCATGCCTCCTCGGGGCCCAGGACAAGCCCTAGGTGGGATGGGTGGCATTAGTGCCATGGGGCAGCCAATGCCCCTCACTGCGCAGCCACCCCCTGGGACCTCTGGAATGACACCTCATGGCATGACTGTAGTGTCCACGGCAACTCCACAGAGTGAGTACCACACTTCCAAGAGAATTTGCCACTTACTTTCCCCCACCCCTGCTTTCTGATTACAACATTGCATTTTATTCCTTTGCTTATGACAATATTAGAAGCATGGAGAAGCACCAAATACCCCTGTCCTTTTGTCTCTCTGAGCTTAGTATGGAAAGAAAAAGCTCCATGCTCTTTTTGAGCTACCAGAAACCTTAAATGAAACTGGGCCTTTTTGTTTTTTCAGTCCTGGGGTTTGGACCCAGGAAATTCATACTGAGCTATATACCCAGCCCTTTTTACTTTTTATTTTGAGACAGTCTCTCCCAAAGTTGTCCCACCTGGGCTCAAACTTGTTATCCTCCTGGCTCAGCCTCCCAGGGTACTGGGATCACAGATGTGCACCACCATGCCTGGCAAAACTAGGCCCTCCTCTGAGCTCTAGGTGGGGGTGGGAGAGACTTGTAGGAGGTTGAGGAGGGCCTAGGCCAGCATCCAAGGGCTGTGTTGTATTTTATCATGGAAAGAGAAACTGTGTTTTAGGCAGTTCTTGGCTTCAGAGCAGGGCAGTGTCAGCGCCCCATGACCCTGTGGTCTGTACCAATCAATGCCTGGGGCTCTGTTTTCTGGTGCTGCTCTTGCCCCTTGGTCTGTTCTGGCTTGTGGCTCATAGCCACATCTTCACGGGGCTCTCTTTCCTTGAAGGAGGTGCTTTGTTCTCTGTAGATCATACCATTGCTCTCTGCATGTGGCTCCCTTGCCCAGGAATGAGAGTGGGACTGTGTCAGGTGTTCTAGTTGGACCAGAGCTACTGTCAGAGAGAATTAATGAACCTCTTCCTCCTCTTTCCAAGACCCATCTTGAATCTGATTCCCACGAATATTTATTCAGTATTTGTAATGTGCTGTACCCACTAGAAAGTGCTTCAGTACTTTTCCCTCCCTTTATGTAACTTTATTTTTTATATAGTTTGATAGACAGGAAGTTGTAGAAAAGCACAGTGTTCCCATGTGCCTTTTACCCAGCTGCCCCCAGTGATACTGTCTTATTTAGTATGTTTTCAAAAGCAAAATAGTATTGGGACAATAATGCCAACTCAGGTCAAAACTTTATTTTTGTTTTTATTTCTTTTTTTTTGTATCAGGAATCAAACTCAGGACCTTGAGCTTGCCAGGCAAGTGCTGTACCACTAAGCTATATCTCTGGCCCTGTTTTGATTTTTGAGACAGGGTCTCAATATGTAGTCCAGGCTGGCCTTGAACTCATGTTGATCCTCCTGCCATAGCCTCCCAAGTGCTCAGATTACAGGCATGAGTCACCATGCCCATCTAGACTTTATTTAGACTGAATATATATTTTTTATATGTATTCTCGGATGTGTGCATACAGGTATGTGTAGCTCTATGAGATTTCCCATGTGGTATCAATCAACCATCACCATAAACATCATGCAGAACCATTCCACCATTCTCACTAACTCTGTTTTATGTCTTTGAATTGACATCCTCCTTGAGCCTTGATGGTCACTCATCTGCCCTTCCTTTCTACAGTGTCACTTCACGATTCTTGTAGAAATGAAATCATTTCTTGTAGAAATGACTTTTGAGACTGGCTCTTTTACTCCTCACATCCCCTTGAGATCCATCCAAGTTGAACAAGTAGTTCATGCCATTAATTGCTGAGTGTTCCCTGGGATGGATCTTCCACAGTTTGCTTTCCACTCACCCTTGAAGGACTTTTGGGCTGTTTCCAATTTTATGTTGCTGTGGACATCTGTATACAAGTTTGGTGTTTGGGTACATTTTTGTCATAGGTCCCTCACAATAACCTTATGAAGCCAGATGTGGTAGCATATGAGTATAATCCCAGCACTCAAAAGGCCGAGGCAGGAGGATTGCCGTGAGTTTAAGGCCAGCCTAGGCTACATAATGAGTTGAAGGAGAAGAAGAAGAAGGAGAAGAACCACCCTGTAAAGAGGGCAGACTCACTCACTGCCCTTGCTTTGGCAGTGAGGTAGCTGTGGCAAGAACTGCAGTCTTACCTGGACCAGGAGCTGGAATGGAAAACCAGTGCCTTCTTCACCCCTACACCCTGACTTGTGTCAGGTTTCCTGTAGGAGCATCACCTTGCCCTTTGCAGTGGCTGTAGGGGGTCCTGCTTCCTACCTACTCTTGCACTGGAACCTTCCTCCATCTCCAGCCACTCCCACCCTTCTCATATTTCTGTCCCTCTCCCTCCCCCTCTTTCTATCTTTCTCTCTTTTTTGGAAACAGGGTCTTGCTATGCAGTTGAGGCTGCAGGTATGTAGGCCAGACTTGCCTTGAACTCAGATCAATCCTCCTGCCTTAGTCTCCCGAGGCGTGCACCACCATACCCAGCTCTTGCTGACTTTTTGCCATCTAACTCTTGACACGTAATGTCCTTATCCTTATACAGTCTCCACTTGGTCCTTCATCCTAATCTCCCCTCTTCTCTCCCATCAACACACCTGAGGCACAGAGTAGATTTATGCAGGGAAGCACAGAAGTTCTGGCTTCTTTTCCACTGCAGTATATTTTTCTGTAGTGGTTGATTTTTTTTTTTTTTTTTAAATATTAAGAAATGTTTTTTAAATATATGGGCTTAGAATCTCACTTCATTTGCCTTGTGATCCCACACCTAAGACTTGGTTTTCAAATCATTATTTGTGAGAAGTTCAGTGGTGAATCACCAGTATTCTCCTGCTCCTCCTCAGTCTGACCTTGATCCACATCCTGTTTTCACTTCACAGAACCTGGTCTACTCGATGGCACTAGTTAAAAGGTGAAGTGGCTTCTGTTATTCTGCATCCTGCTGCTGTCTCTGTCAGAGAACTTCCCTCCCTGCCCTCGACCCCTTGCCTCCCTGGTCTAAAATAGTGTATTGTCTCGTGGGATTTTGAGATCCCTTAACGCCTTTTGCAGACATCATTGCATAATTCTGGCTGATTTGGAACTTCAGTAGGTACCCGCTTGAAGGCAAACTATGGGTCTGAGATTTTGTAAGGGACTCTCAAAAGGCAGGCCAGTGGACACTGATAGACTCCAGGTGACCTGAATTAGACAGAAAGTACTGATTGTGTACATGGCTGGGGGCTGTGACAGGTTTGGAAGCAAGACTTTTCACTCTGTATGTTTATATTCCTCAAAAATTTTATATATGTGCATGTAAAACTGGCTTTAAAAATAATTCCTACATCTGGCTATGTGACAGACTGGTGCTGAGGGTTCTTCGTCTTTGTAGATATCCTAGAGCAGTGAGAGTGAACCTTTTAGAGCTTTCAGTGATACAAAGAGCCCACTGCTGCACATGTGCCATAGGTTTGTCACCAGTGTCCTAGAGCCTGGTTAGGCTGCTCTGCTGGCCTGCAGAAAGCTGAGCCCTGGCCTGCTGTCAAATGGAAAAGGCAAGCCTGGGATTTTTCTGTTCTTCCAGGATTTATATGGGAACTGGAGGCACCCCCTGGCTCTTCTGCAAGCTGGTGTAGGTTAGAGGAAAACGTCTCCAGTTTCTGGTTGTGAGAATTACACAAATCAAGGTCAGGTGGTAAACACACAATCAAAATTCACCTGGCATGAAGGAAATGCGACATCATGAAAGAGAACAACCTAATAAGTAGATATAGAGACACTTAAGGACCACACATACTGGCACTGATAAATATGGGCCATAATGTGGCACATGTCTGTAATCCCAGCACTGAGGGGGATTGAGCCAGGAGGATTGTAAATTTGAGTCCGACCTGGGCAATTTAGCAAGACACTGTGTCAAAATAAACATTTCTTTTTTTTTTGGGGCAGGGATCAAACTCAGGATCTTGTGCTTGACAGGCAGGCACTTATGCCACTGACCTATATCCCCAGCCCCACTGCGTCAAAATAAAATGCAGCTGGGCATGGTGGTACACACCTGGAATCCCAGTGCTCTGGGAACCTGAGGCAGGAGGATCGCTGAGTTCAAGGCCAGCCAGAACTATACACAGCAAGAGCCTGCCTCAAAAGCATCCTCATCATCCTCATCATTAAATTAAAAGGTTTGGGGATATACCTCAATGGTAGGGTACCTCTGAGTTTGATCGCTAGTACCAAAAATACACACACTGTCTTTTTCTTTCTCTTTCTTGCTCCCTCCCTGTCTCCCTTTCTCTCCATCTACCTTTCGCTCTCACTCTGGCTCTGTCTCGCTCTCGCTCTGTCTCATTCTGTCTCTCTGTCTAGCTATAGCAGTGGTGGTGAACATATGGCTTGAGTACTGCAGCAGTCTGTATCATTGAAAATTCTAAAGGGTTTGCCATCACTGGGGTATAGACTCCATGTGTATAAAGAAATAAAGGGTAGGAGTCTTAACTGAAAAAAACCATATCAAGAGTGACCAATGAATTTGAAAAAGAGCTAATGGAGCTTACAGAAATGAAAAATACAGTAATTGAAGGGAAAATGTGTGGGTAAGTGAACAGCAGATTTGATAGAACTGAAAAAAGAGTTTGTAAACTAAAGCTACATGTAAAGAAATTACCTAGTGTAACACAGAGAAAAGGACCTGGAATGAAAGGGCAAGAAATGAAAAAGGAACAATCTGAAGGTCTAACCATCTAATTACAGCTCCAGAGTCCCAAATGGAGAGAAGAGGAGAAAACAGTCTGAGAAGAGGTAACAGCTACAAAAAGCCCAGCTGACCCCTAGCAAGTTAAGGGCTTCTGTATCTTAACCTGCTGCTGTGGAAGTGCAGACAGTAAAGGCCCGAGGGATATCTTAGAAACAGGTCTCAGTGGACTCAGCAGTGGAGTCAGAAAGATAATGAAATGTTAAAGCAGTGCAAAAGGAGCTGCCGACCACTGGGTGCCTGTAAATCTTATCCAAGGCCACAGGAAGCAGGTTTTCAGATACACAAGGAAAGAGACTGTTCTTTTATTTGCTCACCATTTCCTCTTCTCAAGCTATCCTTTTGAGATGCAATGAATACAATGGGAGAAGTAGGAGGTTGTACATATGTGTAACTCTAAACCAGTGATTGTCAGCCATAGGGACATTTGACAATGCCTGGAGACATTTTTGGATGTCACAACTGAGGATGCCACTGGCACATAGTGGGTAGAGGGCAGAAATGCTGCTAAACATGTCTTTTTTTTTTTTTTTTTTTTTTTTTTTTTTTTTTTTTTTTTTTTTTTTTGGTTTTTCTCCGGTACCGGGAACCGAACTCACGACCTTGCGTATGCCAGGCAGGCGCTTTTGCCGCTGAGCTAAATCCCCAGCCCCTTAAACATGTTACATAGGATAGTTTTCTACAATATAGAATTAAGTTTCTGGCCCAGAGAGTCAGTGGCAACAAGATTGAGAACTCTTGCCGTAAACGAAAGTTACCTCTAAAATGATGTTCAGAGCTGACTTCCACACAGACTTGCCATGTTCCATGCATAATTTTGACTGTTACTTGTGGTATAAAAGCTTATTTAATTCTGGGTCCAGTGTGTGGAATAGGTAGTACTGTTCTTTCGTTTCTAACAGATGAAGAAACTGAGGCAATGAGCAGTAACAGAGTTGAGATTTACATCCAAGTGTTCTACCTTGTGATCATGGCACAGAACTTGTTTATCCTGACTCTTAACGTAATTTCTACTATGAAAGGCTCAGATAAATAAGTGGTGAAGTAAGTGGAAGTCAGGATGGGAATATGTCATGAATTGCAGGTCCGTCACCCACATGTAAAAACCTACTTTAAGTTATAGTAGTAAATTCAGTTAGGCATGATGGCATATACCTGTTCAGATAAACAGTGCAGAAGCACTCAAAAGGCAGAGGCAGGACAATCTTCAGTTGAAGGCTAGCCTGAGGCCTACACAGCAAGACCCTGTCACAAAAAACCAAAATAATAAGTAAATTTGAGAAAAAGATTAAAATATAGGTAAGATTTAGACTGCAAATTGAATGTATGCAATAAAATTGAAAATCAATTGCTTAAGCAGTAGAAATTTGTAAATTTTAAAGCAATGGGAAAAATGGAATAAGAACAAGTCACAAAATCCAAACAACATATAAAATCCAGTCCTATCATCCAATGGAAATGGAATTTTAAAAAAGAGAAAGAGCATAGAAAATGATAAATGAATAGAAATAAATTGAAAAATATAAGTAATCATAGTAAGTGTGAATGAACTAAGCTTTTCTGCTAAAATATAGGAAGTGTGAGATTGAATGGAAATGGAAGGAAACAGTACAACTATATTATCCTTCAAGAACACTCCTATAACTGGGCATGGTAGCCCATGCTTGAGCACTTGGGAAGCTGAGGCAGGAGGATTGTGAGTTTAAGGCCAGCCTGAACTGCATAGCAAGACCCCATCTCAAAAAAAGGGAACACTTCCATAGCTGGGTGTAGTGGTGTGTGGCTATAATCCTAGCACTCTTGGCGACTGAATCAGGATGATCACAAGTTTGAGCCCAATACTGGGTTCATCCTCAGTACTAGGTGGATAAGAAGCTTGTAAGATGCAAAAAGATAAGAAAATTAAAAAGGAACAAACAAACATGTATTGGGCAGTTATCTCAATCACTTCCTTTTTTTTTTTTTTTTTTGAGACAGCGTCTCACTGTGCAGTTCAGGCTGGGCTTGAGCTCACTTTGTAGCCCAGGCTGGCCTCAATCTTGCAGTGATCCTTCTGGCTCAGCCTCCTAAGTGCTGGGATTACAGGCATGTGCCACCTCGCCTGGCTTCAATTACTTCATAAAGATGTATTGAGCAGTTATCTCAGTTTTCTGCATTATTGCTAATTAAGCAGACAAAAATTGATACATTCAGAGGCAATTTGAACAGTCTAATGAACTTAATCTAAGCACAGGATGGAACAAATATGTTTACAAAAATAAACTATAAAACAAATTTCCACAATTTCAAAGTATTTTTGTCATTCACATGCTTTCTGACTGTTAAACAGAAGTCTGTAGCCAAAAAATAAATTTAGGAGTTCTAGAATGTAATCATTATGTACTATAAACATGTATAATAAAAACAAAAATTGAAAAACAAAATATGCTGTACAAACAAAAAAAGTTTTAACACCTACCCAAGATGGCTAAAATAAATCATGACAGTATCTGGTGGTGGTGGTAGAGAAACTGAACTGCTCACATGCTGCAAGTGGGAGTGTAAAATTGCACAGCCTCTTTAAAGTGTGCACCTCAGCCATCATACTCTTGGGCATTTATCCCAGAGAAATGAAAACATTCTATAAAATGTATACATAAATATTCATGGCTGTATTTGGAGTAGCCCAAATCTGCAATCACCTCAGATGTTCTGCATTGTGTGCATGATCAAAGATACATACATCCCGTGGAATACTACTTAGCAATAGGGGAAGCCATTTCTGTTATTACACCCTGTGTGATCTTTAGAGAAATATGCAGAAGGGGAAAAAATGTCACAAAAGGATTCATCCTGTATGGTTCTTATTATTATATTAACTTTTCCCCGTAGGTATTCTATATAATTTTGAAGTGACAAAACTTTAGAAATGGAAGATACCATAGTGGTGGCCAGGGCTTGAGGGGTGGGTTTGTTGGCAGGAACTGAGGGATCCTTGTATATTAGAACTGTTCAGTGACTTGCTCTGATGGTAGTCTAGTCCACCTAGGTGGTAAAATTACTATCTGTAAGAACTTAGTAAACACACCCATACAAATGAGGGCATATTCTCATTGTGATATTGTAATGTGGTATTACCGTGAAAACTGGGCCAAGCATAGAAGAGTTCTCTCTCTGTTTTTTTTTGTTTTGTTTTGGTTTGGTTTGGTTTTATGAGATAAGGTCTCACTATATAGTTTAAGCTGGCCTTGAACTCACTGTGTAGCTCAGGCTGGCTTCAAACTCACAGCAATCCTCTTGCCTCAGCTTCCCAAGTTCTGGGATTACAGTCATATGCCACCATGTCTAACTTTTGATATATAATTTTCATTAGTATATAGTCTACCCATTCAGATGAAAGCATATAATTGGCCATGCGGAAGAAGTTTTCGGTATATTCACGGAGTTGTGGTACCATCACCATAATCAAGTTTAGAACATTTTCATCACTCCAAAAGAAACCTACCTCAACACAGAAAATCATACTATTTATATAAGAATTATTCACAATAGCCAAGAAGTAAAAACAACCCAGATGTCAATCAGCTGGGAAAATTACACAGTAGAATATTATTTGGCAATAAAAATAATACCAGTAAAGTTGGTAACATTCTAAAACTTGGGTAAACTTTGTCACTATTTTGTGAAATAAGCCAGTCACAAAACACATTCTTGGGCCCATTCATATGCACATCAGAATCAACAAATCCACAGGTAAAAAGAAAGTACATTAGCACTTGCTTTTTGTCCATAGTAAAGACTTAGTGGGCTCTTAGCTCTTTCATAATCCCTTTATTTTAACTGTATCTGGTCCTATTCTCTTTCGTCACCAGAGAGTAATTCAAATTAAGTTCAAAATTGATGCAAATGCTACTTCCTATCCGATCTGTCTCTGGTAAATGAGAATTTTCAGATTCCTGCAGCGCCCTGGGCAGCATGCCCTCCTTGAACACCCTTCCCAGTCTATATAGCACCTGCAGCACGGAGGCCTTGGCTTGCTACTGCTTCCTTTGCTGTGCAGCCCTGGGGCAGCTCCAGGGATGGCATTGACCTAAATCTGAGTCTCTTCTCCAGCCCAGTTGCAGCTCCAGCAGGTGGCACTGCAGCAGCAACAGCAGCAGCAGCAGCAGTTCCAGCAGCAGCAGGCGGCACTACAGCAGCAGCAGCAACAGCAGCAGCAGCAGCAATTCCAGGCACAGCAGAATGCCATGCAGCAGCAGTTCCAGGCTGTGGTGCAGCAACAGCAACAGCTGCAGCAGCAGCAGCAACAACAGCAACAGCACCTCATTAAATTGCATCATCAAAACCAACAACAGGTACCGGGTTCCCTGTTCCAGCACTGGGGATCCCTCCTGAAGTCCTTGAGCCTGGGATAGGCATCATCCTTGGTGCTGGATGTGAGCCCTGAGCTGGCCAAGGGTCCTTTCTTTAAAAATTAATTTTATTGGTATACTTTTGATATAATGACCACATTCCTCATAGGGAATTTGTACTTGTACATAATATATCTTGACTGTTCTTTTTTCCCACTTAACTCCCCTTCCTTCAACTCTGCTTCCTCTTCTCATTTACTAAAGTGTTGTTCTCATTTTTTCCCCTCCTAGTCTCTCGCCCCCATCCCTTGTTCCTCTTCCCATTTGAACATTTTCTTCCTACTTCCAAAGGGTTCGTGATTGGTGCTGCCTGCCCTCCTCTGTTGGGTTCCCACAAAGGAGGACTGGCAAGAAAGATAGGCCTTGACTTCATAGGCCTGTGGTGCTCGTTATAAGAGGCCTTCTCCGTTGTGCTGCCTGGTTCAGGCCTGGTGCATGCTGTGAGGCATTAACTAAAGCAAGAAGGGAGACAGACACTTAAAGACTCAAGGATGCTTGAACTGTACTGTAGGTGGTTGGTTGGTTGGTTGTTTTTAGGACATAAACACACCCCTTATTTTGTCTCTTAGTGTCTGAGCACAGTATCAAGTGACCTCTAGGTGGTGTTTGTATAGCAGTGGCAATGTCACATTGGAATCCCTTCCAGTCAGAAGCTGTTTTGTTCTCCTGTGGTTTGCAGTCAGAATCTAGACATACCAGCATCTGTCCTCTCAGCAGGTATTAGTTGAGAGAGAAAAGCACCAGGGGGCTTTTGCACCTGCTGGCCCCCTTTGGATCTTGGAGGTTCCTCTCCCAGAGATGATTGCATCTTAGCCGCACTTGTCTTCCTCATTGTGAAAAGTAGACATTGGCCATCCTCGTGGAAGCTTGTACTGCTGACCACCTAAGGCACAAAACAGCAACATTGGAGAAGCTGCAGAAATCTGCACTAGCCTGAGTTTTTAGCCTACCTTCTTTGGAATTGCATCTACTGTTATTCCTTCCTAAACCTAGATATTCCCTTCAGCCATTCCAGGTGTGAATCAGCCCTCAGTGGCAAGGGAACAAACATACTTGCTGTGTCCTTGGTATCTAGAAGAGACCTGGAGTTGGCCTCAGGGGTCCAGATCCCTTTTCCTTGGGACATGCATCCCTCCCCATGTGAGAGGTCGAGCCAGACAGGCCTCCATGAAGGTGATATTGATGCCTCTGGGCTTTCTGGGGCTGAGGCTGGCCCTGGAAGGAGCTGGCACTTGAGAGACTTCTGGGTGGTCACTGAGTGCTGCTTATCTTATCCCTAGATACAGCAGCAGCAACAGCAGCTGCAGAGGATGGCACAGTTGCAGCTGCAGCAACAACAGCAGCAGCAGCAACAGCAGCAGCAACAGGCTTTGCAGGCCCAGCCACCAATACAACAGCCACCCTTGCAGCAGCCACAGCCTCCCCCCTCCCAGGCCCTGCCCCAGCAGCTGCCACAGATGCATCACCCACAGCACCACCAGCCTCCGCCACAGGCACAGCAGCCCCCAGTGGCTCAGAACCAACCATCACAACTCCCGCCACAGTCACAGAGCCAGCCTTTGGTGTCACAGGCTCAAGCCCTTCCTGGACAGATGTTGTATGCCCAACCGCAGCTGAAATTCGTAAGTATCCAAAGCCTGCAAGTGAGGCATATATGTCTCTTCTCATGGTGTTGCATGTGGCTAGTGGCTCTGTCAACCAGGCTCTGTCCTTTTCTTTATACACTGGAACTTGGGCAATCCTCATGTTGGCCCATCCATCTGGCCTTGTAGCACAGGCCAGTGGGGACTGTGTCTGAGACTACTTTTGCATCCCACCTGGAGGTGTCTCATCTTCCAAGCTGTGTGGCTAATTTCAGCAGTGTCTGTGGGCGCTTGAAGGTGGTAGATGATCAGCGGGGAGGATATGCTCGATCAGTTGGGTGTCCATGGTATTTTACTTACTGTTTGCAATTATATCCTGAATCAAGACCTTTTTGTTTATTTGTTTTGTTTCCTGCAGTACTGGGAATCAAACCCAAGACCTTCACACTGCACTACACCCCCAACTCTTTTTTACCTATAGTTTATTTTGTATTTTTTGATAAGTTGCCTAGGCTGGTCTTGAACTTGTGGTCCTCCTGCCTCAGCCTTGCAGAGTGGTGAGGTTACAGGTATGCACTGCCTTGCCTGGCTAAGATAGTTTTTAGAATTTTTACTTTCTTTGGTGCTGGTGATGGAACATAGGAACTTAGCTAGTGCATGCTAAGCGTATGGTCATCAGTGAGCTACATCTTCAGGTTGAAAAGCCTTGTCATTTCCATATTTTTGAGAGGGGTGTTCATGTCAAATACTCTGTTATTTTCAGTCTCATTGTACATCTCTGCAAAGTAAGTCCAGTTCACAACATTTACAGAACAGAGAGTGTTGTCACCAAGATGGTGATGACTATGACAGTTCCCTTGGTTTTGGGGGTTGGTTTTCTGTTTGTTTTGGTTTGGGTTTTTTGATTTTGGTTTTCTGAGACAGGGCCTCACTTTATGGTTCAGGCTGACCCTTAACTCACTAAGTAGGCCAGGCTGGCCTCAAGTTCATGGTGATCATCCTGCGTTAGCCTCCTGAGTGCTGGGATTACAGGCATGCACCACCATGCCTGGCTCAAATTCCCTTGATTTTTGTGACCTTTTCTATTTGTGATTCGTTGAGTGGTGTGGGGTTAGGAACTGCACCTGAGTTGAGTATCTGAAGTAAAGAGGAGACCCCCCCCCCACTACAGCAGGTTAGGAGGCTTGAGGGTCATAAGGAACAGATATAGTCACTCACAGGTCACTTGGGAGCCTGCCCATTGGGATCTAAACCTTTGTGTGATGGGCTATGTATGCCTTGTTGAGATTGGGTCTGGTGGCCTAGAGACATTGAGGAAGGAGCCACCTGTCAGGGTCTGATTGGGGCCTGCCTTGTCCCTGTGAAGATTTCTTCACATTTGGTCTTACATTATCGCTTTTCTTTCCTGGGTCTTTTACCTAAGCTCACCTTTCTAGCTGAGCTGCCAGCTGGTCAGTCCTGGTTTCTGTCCTTCTGGACCACCAGCATGTTCAGCCAGAGGATGAGCAGGCTAGCTATGCAATTGGCTTTAGAGGCCATCATTCTGCTTGCAGTGATAGTAGGTGTGGTGTGTGTCTAGAGATCTCAGTGGGAGGGTTGTGCTGCTTCTCATCAGAATTAGAGGAACTAGCACTCTACGCTAACTCAGAACCTGGCTGGTGTAAGACGTTTCTTATGACCTTATGGTATCAGTAACAGCCACTAACAGTTACCTCATAGTCTGTGGAATCATTATAATCTCATCTTCCATCTCTAGAAAGGCTCAGATGACTTAGTTCCCACAGAAGTGACGTGCTCTCTGCCCCAGGTGATTCCAAATTGCATTCTTTTTTCATCCCTTCAGGTCCGAGCTCCGATGGTGGTCCAGCAGCCGCAGGTACAGCCTCAGGTACAGCAGCAGCCAGCGGTGCAGACAGCACAAGCTGCCCAGATGGTGGCTTCTGGAGTCCAGGTAAAGGCCTTGGGAGTTGAGGGCTTCTCAAGTCACTAGATGGTGCATGTCCATCCACCTATAGAGTTCTATAGCAAGTGTCTGGCTTGGTTTAGGGGCCAAGTTGGTAAAGCACAGGGAATCCTCTCTCCCTTACCCTCCTCAGAATAACCAGCTCTGTTCAGTCATGATTGGGACCCTACCAGCTGCACATGTAGTATAGTTCCCACTTTACCCCTAGGAAGGTGGATATGGTGGGCATGGGAGGCAACTTCCCTGCAAGTAGGAAGAAGATGGGAATAGCAATGGATGCCTAGACGCGGGCAGGCATGTGCCACTCAGGAGTACAGGAGTGGGTGTCCTGGGGCTGCCGCTATGGGGAGGCGCAACTCACATGTCACTGTCCAGTTAACTCATGCCTATTCTCTCTAGGAATGATGGGATGCAGGAGGCCTTGCTTAGCCTTTCCTAGTGTCTGGGGATTGGACACCCAGAGTCCCTGACTTGGCTGATACACCCACCTCACCTTCACACTAGTGACTGTGCATGGAGATGTCTAACTAGGGCCTTGATTCTTCTTCTGTCCATATGGTGGTAGAAACGCTCCTACTGCTGAATTGGGAGATTGGCTTTAGAAGTAGTCAGAATGTGCTAGCTCATATGGGGAGGCTATTGTAGTTCTAGCATCAGCTGGTGCTGTGACCACACTTTGCTGTCCTCAGAAGGCCATCATCTGTGTTCCTATACTGGCTGGCTTACTTGGAAACCAGCTGAGCTGAGTTTGGGTCCACAGCTCTGTAGACTAGTCAGACACTATTTCACACTGGGGAGGAGGCTCAGAAGTGGTTCTTCCTGTCCCCACTGCATTGTTCAAATGCCTGGGACACTGCCTGAGGAGAAGCATGAGGGGAACTTGAGATCTTGGGCTGTAGCTAATCTAACCTAGCAGCTCCCTTGCGACTGCACCGAGTGATCTGGGCCTGGTGTTCCTGTACCACCCACTACTAAGTGAAATACACCGTAGACTTTTGTGGTTGGGGAGGCTGACCATCCGTATGAGGTTGGAACCTACCTCTGCCACCACCATGTGTCTCAGGTCACCTGGGGGCTCCCTCCTCTTGGCTGCCTGTATAGAGGAAGGATGTGGTTTGTGTTGAGTCAGCAACGTGGCCGCACATTAGTGACTGCTCTGAAAGCATAAGGTACTTTGCAACCTCATTCCAGGACCTGCTTTATAGAAACCTCTGTACCTCTGTTCTGGCCCAGTGAAAAAGGGACGGGTTCCTTTTCCATCTTTCACTGTTTGGAAAGCAAATGGCTGCACACTGGGCCATATGTGTGGCTCATGTGGGCCCGTTCTGCCAACTTGCTCATAGGCTGCTAGCTCAAGGCAGCATATACCCTATCATCACACCAGTGTCTCGTCCGTTGCCACAAGCAGGATGCTGACTGCATGTGCCCAGTCTCCCACACTGAGCCTGTGTGTAGGGCATGGTTCTTCCTGCTGGTGTGGAAATGTGACCAGCCATGCGCAGTTACATCTGGAGTACACACCTTAATGTTTTTCTCACCCCAGTGTTGAGTGTCAGTGGCAAGTAGAGGGTAGGCTTGGATCTTCTGTTTAGGTGGAACCAGTGGAAAGATTGCAAGATCTGTGGTAGCTAAGAAAGGTGGAGCATAGTCATCCCTTCAGTTTATTTCCAAGTTTGTTTGGTTTATTGAGGACTGCGCCTTCAGTATTTTAAGATGTGTCATCCACCTGCTGTGCAGTATGTACAGGTCCAGAAGCAATGGGGCCAAGCAGCTATGGATAGAAACCTCCAAAATTGAGTCAAAGTAAACCTTACCTCTATACTGTGTTTACCTCACATATTTTGACCTGATCTGCAGGGTGGTCTTTTAGGCACATCATCTGCTTGACCTGCACCGCCTTGCGTTGCTGTGCGGTGGGATGCCTGAGTGCTGGTAGCAGAGGGAGCCACATGGGTTCTCGAAGCCCAGGAACAAGTGGTATGCATCAGTGTCCTGCTCTTCAGCCCAGATGCGACACACAAAGATTCATTTCCTCACCTTCTGTGGGTTTTCTCGCAGTCTTAGATCTTGCCACTGTGCATGGTAGTCTAGACTGGTTGATCTACCTCATTGCGTTGTCCTAGCAGCAGCCAGGTACTAGGGTGTAGCTGGGTGACTTGAGTATGACACACCCTCCTAAGGGGGACATTTTTTAATTCATACCACAGTGGATAACATTAACAAGTATGGTAGTTCTAGAAGTGAAGAGACATGTAAGAAAAACAGCCCCGAGAGGGAGAAATGGTCTGGTGTCCTTTCTGGTTTTCTTTCATTGTCCCTACTATCCATAGGGATTTGTTTTGTGTGAACTTAGGGCCTCATGGATGCTAGGCAAGAACTCTACCGCTGAGCTACACTCCCAGCCCTTTTTGCTTTATTTGTGAGACAAGATCTCACTAAGTTGCCCAGGCTGACCTCCTGCCTCAGCCTCCCAGGTAGCTTGGATTATAAGTATACACTTCTGCTCTGGGTTTCCATAGGGTTCTATGTGTACTGCCTTCCATGTTAGCATAAAAGTGAAATGGTCTCCTGTGTGTTGGTCATTTTTGTGTTGCTATAACAAAATATTTGAGGTATATAATATATACAGGTAGGGTTTATTGGGCCCAGTTCTGGACTAATAAACCATGGGTGCTTGGCCCTGTTGCTTTTGAACCCATGGGCAAGGGGGCAAGGCGGTACATGCTGGCAGGAGCCCATGAGGAGCAAAGAGAAGCAGGAAGAGACTGGCATTCCCATCTCCTTTAAGGGCATGCCCCCACTGACCCAAAATCTACTAAGGTCTGCCTCTTTTTTTTTTCTAGGCCTCACTTCATAAAGGTTTCTACCATTTTCTAATAGTCCCAAGCTGGGTGTTAAACTTTTAAAATTTTTTGTAGTACTGGCTATTGAACCCAGGACCTCATGCATACTAGCAAAGCACTTTATCATTGAGCTACATCCTTAACCCATTCATTTTCTTTTTTTTTTTTTTGTACCGGGAATCGAACTCAGGACCTTGCACTTGCCAGGCAGGCACTAATGCCACTGAGCTACATCCCCGGCCCCATTCATTTTCTTTTAGCCAGAAATTTCAGTGAAAACAGAAACTACCTGCTGGTAATTCATTATCAAGTGATAGCATTTTGAAACTTTCTAACACATAGCTACCCAGAGAAGAATTCAGGGAAACCCAACCCCAGCTTAGGCTGTAGCCCTGGCTCTTCCTGCTTTGGTCACTGTCCAGAAAGGCTCAGAGGGAAAAAAAGAGGGGTCATTCTCTGGGGCTGGCAAAGGCTCACTCAGAGAGCAGTTGTATGTCAGCTTTGTCACATGCATGTCCATAGTAGGTGTCTGTTTTTGATGACAGTTCTCTGTAATCTATAAAATAAAAGCTAAGTTTTCATATACTAGAAGACTAAAAGGTTGAAAGACAAAAGCATAGGAATTGTTTCAAAGTGGATACACATTCTGCCTTGATTTTATAGAGGAGAAAGAGAAACTTCTTGTATCTTAGTAAATCCTGCTGGGCGATATTGCCCCTCGTTATACAAGTAAAAAAGCCAAGGCAAACTCTGGAGGATGTCTATGCCCAGCTTGGGCTACATAGTGAGCTTGAGGCCATCTTGAACTATACAAGGAGACCCTGTCTTAAAAATCAGACAGAAAAGTCAGGTGAACACAGCACAGGCCATAGGAACACCAGTATTGTCATATGAGCTATACCCCCAGCAAGAAGTATAAATTGACAAAGAGGGAGATCATGACTAGTGCTAGAATTCCCACCTCAGTGATCATCTTTGGTGTTTAGGGACTGACTTGACTCATGTCCCTGTGGAAGTGACCTTCCTCATAAGGGAGGAGGCTCATCAGGTGGATCCACACTCCTCCTGCCCACCTTTTCCCCAGTTTTTAGTTACAAAAGAAACTAGTTCCTCCATAGATGCCAGACCTAGCAGCCCCGGGGAAGCCTGGAGTAGTTCAGAGTGATTTGGGGCTCTGAGAGTGGTACTTCTGAGAAGGAATACTGCTGTGAACCGGCTTACCTGAATGTGGCTTCTGTGTTAGTAACAGTCAACTTTTCTCATAGCAAGCCTTGGTGGCCTGTCCCCTTTCCCAGTCGGTCCCAAGAACCTGGTCTTCCAGAACCTCTGCCTCGCAATCTGGCTCTGACTCTGTGGGCTGTAGGATTTTTGTTCGCAGCTCAGAAGTGTGTCCAGGACAACCAGTGCAGGAGTACAGCCAGGAGCACGGAAAGACACTGTGAACTTGAACATGACACTGTGCCTGTCCTCCTCCCAGGCCACTCGGAGCTGCCTGAGGCTCCTCCTTGTAGGGGCTCCACATATCCATTCTACCTGCTGTGTACTGTGTTTCTTGTCACCATCACCGTGTCTGTTGTCCCCATGTCCTCAAAGGTGATTGCTGAAGCCTTGGCCCAAGGTGAGATTTATGTAACAGCCCAGTTCCTACCTGTCTCCACTGCCGTCCTTCATCCTTTGGTTGGACAGCCCAGGCCACAGGTATTTATGGACCTGAGAGCCTTCGTTAAGCACATCTGTTATATTCAGTGACTTCCTTCACAGCGACTTTCAGTGTGCTGTACCAGGTATCACTTTTTAATCTGTTTAAGGCCAAGCCCAGCTGGTATTTCTTGAGAAGTGAATAAATGCCTTACCCCCATATCCACCCCAGTTTAAAATAGTCATCTTGCTGTCATTTTCATGGTGAAATAAAACAAGCCAAGCAAATAGCTTTGCTTCCTAGCGATATGTGGCTGCTCACATTTAAATTAATTAAAATTAAGTAAAACTGAAAGTTTAATTCCTTGTTTGTACCAGTTACAGTTTTGAGCTCAGTAGCCCCTGGTGAAATTACTTGCTCCCAATTGGACAATACAGATCACCAAAGATGGCTATTGTGGATGAAAGTTGTGTTGGCCCAGGACAGCTCCCTAGAGTTTACCAGGCAGCGTATAAAATTTACTACACAGATAGATCTTCCTAGGTAAATGTGAACTTCTATGTACATTACTTGTTTTTGTTTTTTTTTGTTTGTTTATTTATTTGTTTTTGAGACAGGGTCTCACTATGTAGCCCAGGCTGGCCTCGAACTCATAGCAGTCCTCCTACCTCAGCCTCCTGAGTGCCGGGATTAAGATGTGCACCACCACAACGAGCTACATTACATTTTTTAGGGAAGTGAACTGCTGGTTTCAAACCCGTTATGTGGAATATAGAATTATCCCACAGCATATTCATTTCACAAACAGTTGCTACATGAGTTCTGTGTGCCAAGCATTGCTGTCAGAGTCTGAGACAGAACGGTGCTAAGGTCTCCCATCATACAAACTTTCCGTTTTGGTAGGTTTGTTGTGAAAACCTTACATCTGCCAAAAGACCTTCAAAATTCCCCTCAGGGAATCCTAGCATCAGTCCCTGCCTTTCCCTGGGAGCCCATGAGCAGCTATGGTTCTCATCCTCACTGGAGCAGTCACATCACTGGCTTGGCTCCTGTTGGGTTCACAGTGAGGTGGCCTTGTGGGGGCAAATGACTTTAGCCACAACATGTAGGACTGATTTTTATGAAAACAAAGTCTCCAGCACTTTGAGGGTGTTATACAGGCCCGGCTTCAGAGTGGGTTCTCTGTGTGCAGAATCTTGTTGGTTCTCACTGATGGAGCTCCTCATTCAGGCTTCTAGCCCCTCTTATACACTGAGAAGGGCCACAGGCAGCTGGCCTGCTGAGGATCTAGATGTGCAGATGAAATTCTCACACTTTGGCCTCCCTTTCTTTTTTTTTTTTTTGGTTTTTCTCTGGTACCGGGAACCCAACTCACGACCTTGCGCTTGCCAGGCGGGCGCTTTGCCACTGAGCTAAATCCCCAGCCCCTTGGCCTCCCTTTCCCAGCCTCCTCACAGGCCCAGCATTGGTGGGCCTCCCACGCGGCCTGCTGCATACCCAGCTCTGAGTGACTTCTGAACAGAGGAGCCCTGCCCATGTCCAGGACCTTGGAGTCACCCTGGGCTGTGCACACCCTAGACATTCATCGGGCTCTAAAAACAATGCAGCTGCATTTGTGACAGTGACTTTGTAATTGAGACCCTTCCCAGAAAAGAGAACTTATCCCAAGAATGTCCTTAAAATCTGTTCAAGGGCTGGAGGTGTGGTCCTAGATTCCCAAACTAAAGACAAAATACAAGTTTAGCCGGAGCTGCTCCATTGCTTGTCTGGCCAGTGATCCTGGCTGGAGCCTGCACCCTACTTGAGGTTTCCAGTGCCTCAGCATGGAAACCTCAGCATATCCGGTAGCTGCTGTCTTCCTCCAGCTACCTGCTCTCATTCCTCAGCAGGACACAATTCAGCATCCATTCTGTCTATTTAGGTTTGGTGGTTTGTTTGTTTGTTTTCTTTTTGTGATAACAAATGGGCCCAAGAATATCATGCAGAAATTCAAGTATTCTTTTTTTTTTTTTTCTTTTTGAGACAGGGTCTCACTATGTAGTTCAAGTTGGCCTTGAGCTCACTTTGTAGCCCAGGCTGGTCCTGAACTCACAACGATCCTTCTGCAGCCTCCCGAGTGCTGGGATTACAGGCACGCACCACCACGCCCAACTGTCAGGTATTCTTTGGCCTCACCCCACATGCTTCTTTCCCCTCAGTACTGAGGGTTGATCCCAGGACCTTTGCAGTGAGCTACATCCCCACCCCTCAGCCCCTGACCCCCTTTTTTGAGACAGAGTCTTATAAATTGCCCAAGCTGGGCTCAGACTTGTGATCCTCCTGCCTTAGCCTCCCAGAGTGCTGAGATTGTAGACATGCACCACCACACCTGGCTTCTTGAGACTCCTATCTGTCCTGTTGTCCCATGAGTGCATCTTTGTAGTGTGATGGGGGTACATTATGGGCCCCAACAAGTATGACCAAGTAGGATTCTATGCTAGGCATGTAGCGGACACAGTGCCCAGCATAGGGGTGCAGTGGGGGCGACGTGGCATTTCTGTTGTAGTACTCCTTGGTGGGTGTAAGCAGATGGGATCTGTTCCCCTGCACTCCGGGAAGTAACTCCCAGGGGCCTGCTGAGTGCTGTCCAAAATTGAGGGACAATTCTGAGGTGTTGGACAGTGTGGGTAGTTCGGAGAGGGCTAGAGCTCATAGTGCCAGTCTGTCCTGAGGTTTGTTTATGGGACACAGCTCCCTGGACCAACATTTCTGTTCTGCTGCTCTTGAACTGTGGTCCCTTTATCCCTTCTACTTATACACCCACTCGCCCGCAATCTGCATCCATCCACGTTCTGGCTGGGCTGCTCTCTATAGCCCCATACCCTCCCCATGACTCTTGTGTCCAGTCCCTTTCCCAAGAAAGTACACTGTGCCATCATTCCTGAGACACTGGATTTGACTGTACCTGGGCTTCCTGGGTGACACACTAGCTCTGTGACCTTGAGCTGATCACCTCCCTTGAGCTCCCATGTTCCCACCTATGATGTGCAGGTGTGTGAGGCATGTGGAGGGCACTCAGGCTCTTCCCTGGGAGACGCATCATTCTCTTCTGGCTTTGCTAGCAGCTGTGACATATCCACACCTGTGCCGCTTGCAGTATGACAGTACATGGAATGCTTTTGCTGTTTCCCTCCATGCAGGGAGCTCATTCCTGACAAGATGCACTGCTATCTCCCACCCTGCTTCCTAAAGATTGGGTTTGTCCCCACCCTGTTGACCACCTCTGTAGGCCAGTTTGGAGATGGGTTTTTGAGGCTGCTCCTGTACAAGCATATCTAAGGTGACTTGGCCCTCAGGACTGACATCTGAAGTGCTCCCCAGGACCCTTATTTCCTGCTTTCTGAAGTGAAAGGGTGCCTCTGGTTTGTCTTACTGTCTGCTCACTGCCTCCCATCCCCTGGGGTCTGCCAGCTACCCTGGCCTGGGACAGCTGAATTGCTAAGAGGGACCCCCTGCGGGTACAGCAGTGGAAGTGCTGATGAGATTCAGGGGGCAGATGGTTGCCTGGGAAGGTCTGGAGGAGCCTCATATATGAACAGTGTGCTATGCTGGACCCTGGAGGGAGCTTAGGAGGAAGCATCCAGGCCACGTCGAGGCCTCCTTAGGGTGTGAGGAGAAGCATGACACTGAGGTCCAGGCTCCTCTGACACAGGGGAGAGGCCCTTGTGTTCCCTGAGAACGTGACCCTGGGCTGGGCCTGGGTGTTCTGTCTCCTCTGGAGGTTTACGCAGGTGGCTGCCCTCCACACTTCCTGGTGCCTGGAGACAGCCCCTGAGAACCCTGCCCTGCTCTCTCCCAGAGCAGAGGGTGTCAGCAGGGTGTGCCTGTGCCCTGCGGTCTGGTTGCTGAGGTGGAAACGAGCTGTGAGGCGGCCTTCCCACTGCGATATCCCCTGCCCAGCTGTGACTCCCTGCTGTCCCCCAGAGCAGCACTAGCTTTTAGGTCATGGACAAGGGATGACTGGTTTCTAAAAGGGACAGCTTCCATCAGGGACTGGGTGCAGCTGGAAAGTGGCAGCAGGCGGAGGCTCAGGATAGGAAAGGAGGGGTGGTGGGCACTTGAGAGGCAGGGCTGGGAGGGAACCAATGCAGAGCCAGTCTTGCCCTCTGGACTGAGGTGGGGTAAGCTGGGCCTGGGGATCCAGGGTCTTTGCTTTCTGCTCCTTGGCACCATCTGTGGTTCTCCATGTGGAACTTCTGGACCTGGGATTTCATTAGCACCTGGGCTGATTCTAGAACATGTATATGGGACATGCTAGTCACCCTAGACCCCCAGGACTCAGTGGCATGTCAGACCTGCAGGGGAAATGTGCTGTGTTTGTTCAGCTTGGCACTTTGCAGGCGTAGCCACACCTGTCCTGGTCTGACCTTGTGACATCAGTGAAGAGCTCCACTTGACTCCAGGCAAGGGTGTCACAGAGTTGTGGGAACAGTCCATTCCCTCTGTTACTGTCCCACTGGGCCAGCAGCTTTGGTTCAGGACCTCTGACCCAGCCATGTGGAAATCATCACAGTGTGGGTAGCACCCTGTACCTCAGTCCCTCTGCTGCCCTAGTGCGCACAGTGCCCTGGGCAGTACTGTGTGGCACAGTCAGTGAGAGCAGATAAACCAGCGTGCAGGAGGCAGGTGCCATTTCACTCTTCAAACTTGGTCCAGGCCATAGGTCCTAAAAGGGTCAAGCAGCTATGGTGGGTAGGTCCCTGGGCCCTGCCCTGCTGTCCCATAGGGTGGGCAGGAATCATTGGCTGGTAGGATCTGGACTTGTTCCCAATTTGAGAAGCTGAGAACCCAGAGTGTTTTTTACCCATTACTCCCAGGACCATAGCAGGAGAGCGGTGGGAGGGAGGTGTGGAGCCGTGACTGCCTAGGTACTGCGTGCGAGTGGCCCACAGAGCCATGTGGGAATGTGTGGCTGTGAGTTGGAACTCCAGTGTCCAGAGTGCTATGGAAGAGGCTCCAGGTGGGCCTGCAGCATAGTACGGATACATTCTCTGTATCCCAGGCGGGTGGGGTAATTGCCTGGGTGCATATCTGGAAAAAGACAAGGGAGTGGGTGAGGCTGTAAGGGACGACAGGCCTGTGGATATGGTGGTAGGTGGCATGGAGGCACATGGGAATGTGTGACGGTTAGTTGGCTGATCCTCTCCACTTCCAGGTCAGCCAGAGTGGCCTCACTATGCTGTCTTCACCATCACCTGGCCAGCAGGTGCAGACTCCACAGTCTATGCCCCCTCCCCCGCAGCCATCCCCACAGCCCAGCTCACAGCCCAACTCAAATGTCAGGTAAGGCTAGTCAGGAATAGTCCTCTAATCTGGTCCTCAAACTCTTGCTCAGACCTGCTTCCTCTCATTTGGCTACAGCTCCGGTCCTGCCCCATCCCCCAGCAGCTTCCTGCCTAGCCCCTCACCTCAGCCTTCCCAGAGCCCAGTGACAGCACGCACCCCACAGAACTTCAGCGTCCCCTCTCCTGGACCATTAAATACCCCTGGTAAGTGGGACCTGGGACTAGGGTGCCATGAGGCACCAGAAATCGCCTTCATGAGGCCTGAACTCATATAAAGGTACATATGCTCTGGGGCCTCTCGGAGCTTGAATGCCCTACCTAAAGCTTTGCAGAGATGAGCCAGCCTCACCCACTGTGTCCCACAGTGAACCCCAGCTCTGTCATGAGCCCGGCAGGCTCCAGCCAAGCTGAGGAGCAGCAGTACCTGGATAAGCTGAAGCAGCTATCTAAGTACATCGAGCCCCTGCGCCGCATGATCAACAAGATTGACAAGAATGAAGGTGTGGCAAGGGCCGGGGTGAGGGCAGGGGCCCTGTAGGTACCTAGGGCCTGGGTCTTAGTGTTGCCTCTCTGTCCCAGACAGGAAAAAGGACCTGAGTAAGATGAAGAGTCTTCTGGACATTCTGACTGATCCCTCAAAGCGGTGAGCTTTGCCTCAAGCCAGACAGTGCTGCACTGCAGTTCATAAAAGGTCCCCAGGGCTTGCTGACTGTAGGGATTTAGCAAAGGGCCCTGCCAGAGGTCCCAGAGGCTCCGTGTAGGTGTATGCTGGGACATGGAGTCCTGACTTGACTCCCCATTGCCCAGCCTTTGCCTGCTCCGGGCTGCCGCTGTGATCCTCACACTTCCACCCTGTGGCTTTCACAGCTTGGCTCAGTGAGCCACTAGCTAGGTCTCAGTTTGTAGTGAGCTCATCAGCCATGACAGGCCTGAGTCTGAGCTTCGTCTCTGCCTACCTTGCCAGTAACCTTGGCCAGGAGACTGTGCCTTGGTCACTGCATCTGTAGCAGGGCTGTGCGTGTTCCTCAGGAAATCGAAATGGTGGTGCCCAAGAAAAGTGTGTGGAAGGCAGTGGCCCACCAGCCACAGGCTGCCGTGAGCAAACAGGAACGTGTGCAGCTCCGCAGAACTGCACGTGAACGGGCCTTTCTCTTATGTCTCTCCCATCTTGCTGTTTCAGCTCACAGTACTCCTCCCCTTCCAGAAAGGTCTTGTCCTGCTTGTGTGGGTTGGATACAGGCACTGCTGCATGGGGCCTGTTGAACCTGGGTAGCCCTCCAGACCCTGCGGTTGGCCCTTCATTGGTGTTGTGGTGCCAAAGGCTGGCCCAAATGAGACCAAAGCTTTCTCAGCCTGACCTGGGAGCAGCTGACCAACTGGCTGGGCTTCCTGTGGAGGTTTCCAGTGGCCGAGGCCCAGGAGGCCAGGCAGGCAGTGGTTGGGATCAGCGGCTGAGTCACCAGCTTGCCCAGCTCCCAGCATAGAGGGACAACCCACATCCCCCCTCCCCTCAGATGTCCCCTGAAAACCCTGCAGAAGTGTGAGATCGCCCTGGAGAAACTCAAGAATGACATGGCGGTGGTGAGTGGAGCTGCAGGCACCTCTGGGGAGGCCAGGGCCCACCCCACTACACCCTGACACTTGGCTGAAAGGAGCCTTCATGCTCAGGGCAAGCAGGGCCTGGCCCGAGGGGCTCTGCCCAGGAGGCTTCTTTCAGCCTGGTGATTTGGAGAGTGGGGATGTAGGAGAAGTCACCCTCTGTCCTTGGTCCCTGTAGATGCCTCTGGCAGCCCAAAACCAAGCCCTGCCCTGGGAAGGATACCTGGGCGGGAATAAGGCTGCAGGGGTTAGAGCTGTGTCCAGTCTCAGTCAAGGTGGAGGCCATGCTGTGAGTAAGGGGTCAGCCTTGGGCTTTGGAAGACCTCCTCAGAGTAAGTGAAGCCTTGAGCCCAAGCTGTGACCCACTTGTCCTGTCTCCAGCCCACACCCCCACCACCAGTGCTATCGACCAAGCAGCAGGACCTATGCCAGCCCCTCCTGGATGCTGTCCTGGCCAACATCCGCTCGCCTGTCTTCAATCATTCCCTGTACCGCACATTTGTGCCGGCCATGACAGCCATCCACGGCCCTCCTATCACGTACGTACAGCCAGGGATGAGTCTCAAGGCGGGCGGCAGGCCAGAAGCTATATGTCCCTAGTGTGGTCACCACAGCTTCCTCCTCCAGGGCCCCAGTGGTGAGTACCCGGAAGCGCCGGTTTGAGGAGGATGAACGGCAAAGCATCCCCAATGTGCTGCAAGGGGAGGTGGCCAGATTAGACCCCAAATTCCTGGTGAACTTAGACCCTTCTCACTGCAGTAATAATGGCACCGTCCACCTGATATGCAAGCTGGGTGAGTGGCCAAGTAGGGTGGAGGTGGGGGTCTAAGGCTCTGCTGACCCTGCATTCACACAGCCCTCCCCACTGTCTGTCCCCACTTCTCAGCAGCATGGGCATGCTCCCAAGCCCTGAGCCCACACCTCAGCTCCCTCTCCCCTACAAGAAGAGGCTGCTGGCTCTGTGTTGGGAGCCCTCCAGGCTTTGTAGCAAGCCTTAGCAGAGCCTTTCAGGGTGTGAAGAGCCCTATTCCAGAGCAGGGCTGTGGGGCAAGCAGGTTGACATGTATATCAGGTCAGTGCTTGGGGCAGGTCCTAGGTGCAGCCTCATGTCTTACAGATGACAAGGACCTCCCAAGTGTGCCACCCCTGGAGCTCAGCGTGCCTGCTGACTACCCTGCCCAGAGCCCGCTGTGGATTGACCGGCAGTGGCAGTACGGTGGGTGAACTGAGAGATGATGGCTGGGGCTGGGGCAGGCTGGGGTCCACACTGAGCAGCCTCCATGTGTCTCCTCCCTCCCCAGCACCGTCAAGAGCAGGGTGCTCAGCGTTTACCTAGAGAAGGAAGAGTGCATACCCCTTGTTACGCCCTTCTCCTGTCTGTCCTGCAGCTGCATGGTAGCTATGTTCAGTGGGGGAGGGATGAGCAAACCCACAGCTCAGGGACACCTGGCTGCTCCCAGTGGCCATTGTGGAGCTCGCAAGGGTCACCCAGGGTCACCAGCAGGAGCCTGGTCTCATGCAACTCTAGCTTATGATGAGGCTCTAGAAAACCAGTCCACATTCCAGTTCTTCACTTAGGGCATGACGCGGAGAGGGGAGCCCTGCTGTGTAGTGAGTGCAGGCTAACGCAGGGACTGTCCCTTCGCACAGAGGTGCACGTGTGGGCCGGGTTCAGATGCGGCTGGCTGCCTCACTGAGGGCCTCCTGCTCACAGCCCGCTGCTCTGTTGCAGATGCCAACCCCTTTCTGCAGTCTGTACACCGGTGCATGACCTCCAGGCTGCTGCAGCTCCCCGACAAGCACTCGGTCACAGCCCTGCTCAACACCTGGGCACAGAGCATCCACCAGGCCTGCCTCTCGGCCGCCTAGCCAGGAACAACAGGGACAAACAATAGCCTCGTCCATTCTGTGGATCCACGCCTCATATTGGACCTTTCTAGGTGTTGGGTTCCTTAGAGAGCCTGGGGTTAGGTAGCTTTCCTGCTTTTCTCTTCTGCCTTGGGGTCTCCCCATACTTGTACAGTTCTGGGCCAGCTGGCTGTGAAGCTGACTACGCGGGGAAGGCACAGGGAGGGGCCTTCCTAGAGAAGATTCTCCGTTCAGCACCCTCCAGGGAATCAGACCCACAGGCCACGTTCCCTGTGGCTCCCTGCTCAGGCTCCAGGCTCCCTGTCCACTCTTCAGCAGCATGAGGGAGAACTCAGGGTCTCATCCAAGAATCTTGTGAATTAGCATACATTCTACTCGTTTCCATAGGAGGACGTGGAAGAGGACATAGGAAATCCTGACAACACAACTCTCTGATGAGTGTTGGGTTCAGGCCATGCTGCTTGCGGCATGTGAAACAGCCCAGAGGTGCTCTGGGACTTGCGTCCCAGGCTCCATTTCAGAGGGAAGGCCAGCCTCTGGGCAGCAAGGAGTCCCTGGTCACAGGTGGGAATCAGGCTGTGTGCTGTGAGGGACCAGGGGCGGGAGGGTCAAACGAGCCTGTCCCGGGTACACCTGTGTCCCTTTTGGCCAATGGTGCCAAGTTCCCACTGTGAGGGATGAAGACTGACCAGCTGGATACTGTCTTGGGACCAGGCATCCCTGGAACACCCTGTTCTGTGCATCACCCTAGAGAGTGTGGACACCCTGTGGGATGCAGCTACCCGGCATCTCTGTGCTGCGTGCCGCACCGAGCAGCAGCCAGCAGTCCTCTGGTGACAAGAACTTCCCTTTTTATATGTGCACTACCCTGTCCTATGTGGTTCATATAATAAATTTATTATTCCTGTGTTTGTCAGGAGTTCCTCCCGGCCTCCCTTCTCTACGTGTCTGGGGCCCACTGTCTTGTCAAGGCTGCTGCTGGTTTTGGGGACAGTGTCCACTGGCCCCAGACCTTAGCTACTCTCTGTATAGCATTCTGTTCCTCAGCCTGTGTCATACTCAGCTTCATGGCCAAATTCCCACTGAAGTAATGCTCAGGAAGTGGGGCAGTGGGGCCCGGAGCACCGTGCTGCTGGGTGGTGGTAGGCCCCAAACTGCCTTGAGGTGATGCACACAGCTGTTGAGTAAAGGGTAGCAGGGCCAGAACTCTCTGGAGAGAACGGTTCTCCCTTGGCCGTGGCCCTCCCAGGATGAAGGTAGCTCAGCCGGACTATTCATTAGCACCATTGGGTACCCCTAGCAGTGTCCAGCATGGGCAGAGCCTGGAAGGCAGCCAGGTCCCTTCAAGACCAGCAGGGAGCAGGGCGAGGAACAAATGGCTGGCAGGAGGCACCTGATAGCCAGTGGAGGAGGAGAGTTGGGACTTGGAGAAACAAGCTTTATTTGCAGCCTTCAGCAATTAGGATAATACTTCCCTCATAATGTGCTTTTGTGTAAATGTTGCCCAGCAAAATAGAAAGTAGTTTCTCAGTTCTGAGATGAAGTGCTTCATCTGTAATGGATTTCATCTCTGTTGGAATCAGCATGGCATCACAATAGTAGGGTTCAGGTGAAATGCGTGAAGCCCAGCCCAGCTGCAGCACACTGGTGCCAGTGCTGGCTCTGCCTCTCAGACCCAGTCCTCCTCCTCCCTGTGGGTGCCATGCCTAGGGACCTACCACTTCTTAGGCCCTTGTTGGAGACCTTGGGGAACCACATAGCATCCCAGTCTCCAGGGAAGGAAGCCCTACCAGGCTGGGAAAGGGATGCAGGATGCATTCTCTTGCCTCCTGGGGGTCAGCCCCGGGCCTCTGGTACCCTTCCTGAGGGATCTGAGGAACTGCAGCTGACAGGTGGGAGGAGAGGCGTGGTGGATAGTGGGAGGTTTGCAGAACTGGGCTGCATTCCACCCAAAGCCTCACCGGCAGGCTGCTGGTGTTCCGAAGCTTTTGTAGTCCTCACCACCTCACACTGCTGCACCATGGTGGGCTTGCACAGGTGTGGGCAGGCTTGCCCACTGGGCCACCCCTACTGTCTTTCCCCCAGCATGGTGGCCCCTGAATTAGAGATCTTGTCCTCATCTCTGAGAAGTCATCACGGCAGCCCAGAGGGGACATGCAGGAATGGTCTCCCCCACCCCTGCCCTTTCCTTCAGGCAGTGTCCATGCCAGTATGGACTCGTGGGGAAGAGGGCTGTCTGCTCTGCTTCCGTGAGGCTCAGCTCCCCGCTCCTGTTCACTGGGGTGCTTTGGGCACCAGGTGGGGGCGGGGGTTCCTGGGGCCAGCTATGGCCTCAAGGTGCACTGGGTTCCAGCCCCTCACCTATTCAGGGCTTCTCACTCCGGCTTGGTCTTGGGTGACCCCAGCACTACAGAGAAGCAGGACCCTGGCGTGCTGGTTGTATTCTCCAGAATGTGTGCTCCCAGCGTTCCCCAAAGTCAGGAAGAAAGGTCACCAGAGCTTGGTCCTGTGGCCAGGAGAAGCAGCTGCACCGAGTGGCTCCTCTGCGAAGTCCAACATCTAGTAGATGTCAGCTTTCAACTCTCGCTTCTTAGAGCCAGGTTGGGGTCTGGCCTTGCTTTGAAATTTGACTACAGGTCAGACCTAAGAGGGCCAGTCATTGCAGCCCTTAAAAGCCACTGCCCACATGCTGTGGGATCGGCCACCTGCACCCAAGAATCCCCTGCCTGTTTCCTCCTGTTGAAAGGGGAGATGAGAACAGCCTGCTGCAGGCTCCAGACCAACTACATGTGGCTGCTGGCTTCGTTTTTGGGTAGAATGAGAGGCCCAAGACCCAGTCGGCACAGGTTTATTCTCTGGCGCAGGCCCAGTGGCCATTGGCAGGGGAAAGGCTGCTCCTGGTGAGGATGCCCAACCTCCTGGGAGAGGCAGACTGGGAGCAGAGGCTCTGTGCTGGACTCAACAGAACACATCACAAGGCCTGTGGGCAGGGCCATCCCACCTGCATCCTGCCTTCTCAGGCTCAGCACAGGCTAATGACCACAAGCAGTCTGGAGGGGCTGCTGTGGATGGTGGCAACTTCCTGTTGGGTCCTGAGGGATCTCCGTGTTTCTTGCGCAGTTTCTGATTCATTACTAGCTTGGAGATCCATAAGCCAGCACATGCTTTCCTCGTCATTTTCAAAGCCACACCCCTCAGAGAGGCTGCTTGGGCTGCGCTGCCCCAGTCCTGGCTGATGCCCGTTGCTGATGGGGCCTGCCCATGGGCCCCTCTAGCTTTCTCCACAGGGCCTTTGTCTTGGGTGCCCTGGGTCAGAAATGCCTCTGGCTGTTCCCTGTCCTCTGCTACCACATCCCTGATGCCTGCAGGGTTCCCAGTCTGCCCAGCCAGGCTTAGGCTCCGGGGAATAGAGGTGATGACCCACCCTTCCAAGGACCCGGTGGCCATAGATAAGTGAACATGGACAATGTGATGATCACACAGTGCATTTACCCTCCACTCCCAGGCTGGCCAGGTCACACACCATACCACAATGACTGGGGTGAGCCTCAAGAGGGCATGGGGAAGGCCAGGCATGGTGGCACACGCCTGTAATCTCAGCACTCAGCTAAGGCAGGAGGGTCCCTGAGAGTTTGAGGCCAGCCTGGGCCACAAAATGAGTTCAAACCAGCCTAAACTGCATAGCGAAACCCAGTCTCAAAAAGAGAGAGTGGGGCTGGGGATATAGGTCAGTGGCACAGCACATGCCTGGCAAGCGCAAGGTCGTGAGTTCGATTCCCACTACTGGAAAAAAACCAAAAACAAAAAGACGAGAGAGCATGGGGAAGGGGGTCCTGACATGGCGGATGCCCAGTGACCAAATCTTTGGCACTTCAGCCAAACGTTACAGAAACCTGGGAGGGGGAAACTGAGGCACTGGCCCAGCAGGTCGGGGACAGACAGGATCTAGCTGAAGTGTGAGCTGCGAGTGAGGAACGGTCACATCACAGAGGGCTGCAAGTTTTGCACCAAGTTAGGCCCCATTGGGAAGACACTGGCTAAGGATGCTGCGGGCACAGGGGCCAGGCCGTGTCCACTTCTGCTCTGGTGTGTTTAGTGGGTGACAGTTCATTGAGTTATACACTTGCTCTTCGTGGGGTGTGAAAACCTTTCTTACCAATAAGGTGGCCTGACCATGTTCAGGGAGGAGGAGGCTGGTGAGATGAGCCCTCTAAAATGTGCTGCCGCCCACGACGCTGCCCCGTGTCCTCTTTGGATTTAATGCTGTATTTCTGGTTGTAGCCCCGCCAAGAGTTGGGGTCACGAGAAGGGGTGGGGCTGTCTCTGCTGGGACCCAGCGCCCAGCCCGCAGCCCAGATTCATCCTTGTTCTCGCGCGATGGCTTCTCCGGGACCTGGCCTGCTTCTGTGCCCAACCGAGCTGCGCAGGCTGTAGCGCCACCTGCTGGACGCCAGCGGCGCTGGGGCGATGTCCAGCGGCGCCTTCGGTCACTGAGCTGTGTGGCTGCTTCCCGGCATCCCGCTCCACTCCTGTCGTTCACTGCCGCCTCGCCTCCGCAAACTCGCTACCTGCGAGGGCTAAACCTGCCTAGTGCCGCGGTCGCCCTGGGAAAAAGGGTGCGGCGGGAGATTCAGGCGGGGCAGGGGCGGGAGACTGAGGCGGGGCCTGGGGTCATGGCCTACTAGGAGAGTGCGGATATAACGTGGGAACCATCTGCTTTTACAGTATGTCTTTATGTCACGTTTTTAATACTTCATTTTCTGAAAGAGATAGTTACTCAAAAATCAACTTTCAGGCAGGTTCAGTGGCAACAGGCCTGTATTTCCAGCTACCTGGGAGGGTGAGGCAGGAGGATCATCATTGGAGCCCAACCCTACGCAATTTAGCAAGAACTTGTGTCAAAAATTTTAAAAAAGAGCTAGGGAGGGCTGTAGCTCTGTAAAAAGATGCTAAGGTGGTTTTTTTTGTGTTTTTTTTTTTTTTGTCTTTTTGAGACAGAGTCTCACTATTCTGGCCTTGAACTCACTTTGTAGTCCAGGCTGGTCTCGAACCTGCAACGATCCTCCTGCCTCAGCCTCCCAAGTGCTGGGATTACAGGCATGAGCCACCATGCCCGGCAAAGATGCTAGGTTCATTCCCCACTATTGGGGCGTAAGAGGTGGGGTGAAGACATAGTAAGGAAAGTTCCTTTCAGTAGTGAGGGTTGAACTCAGGGCGTCATGGATACTAGGCAAGTGCTGTATCACTGAGCTACACACTCAGCCCTTTTAAAAACCAAGACAGGGTCGTCTTATGTTGCCCAAGCTAGACTTGAATTTATTATCCTCCTGCCTCAACCTCTCAAATAGGTGGGATGTCCCAACTGCCTGACTGGGCAGGTAGTTCTTGGAAGAGCTGCGTTTGCCCTGTGGGCTCTCTAGTCAGCCAGACCTCCACCAGGAAGCCCCAGGCTTAATGCCTCAATAAGGCAGAGGATGGAGTCTGGGGGGGTCCTGCACCTGAAAATTAAAGGGACTAAGGAGGAATACTTACTAGCCTGGAACTACAGGATGAGCAGCCCAAAGCTATGAATGCCCCTCAAGTTCTTGACTGGCTCTACAGGCACAGGCATCGGCAGGACCCAGAGGAAGACACCCCGAGCCGAGCTGGGAGGTACCTGTCTCCCTAAGGGTCTGCTGCTCTCCTCGGGGTCCAACACAAGCTTCAGGCAGCTGCAGATGTGCCAGGCACAGGGAGACCTACAGAGGGTGGAAGGAGCTGTCCCACTGACCTCCACCCTGGCCCACCATTTATCTGGGTTGGGCCAGGCACTGAAAGCTTTTGGGCCCCAAAGGGCGAGTGAACAGGCTCATGGCCCCTCGGGAGAGGGGTTGGAGGTCAGGACACCCAGCAGGTGTCTCAGCTTCCTGAGTGCTCAGGGACCCTGTGCAGGCGAACCTGCTGGACAGAGGCTGAGCCCAGATACCGACACAGAATCAACCATCGGTTTATTCAGATCCATGGTTAAGTTAGTTTTCAGTTTCATTTTTGATCATGGGCTCCAAAATGTATCCTGAGATTACATCAAAACACAAGGCTCAACATTTACAATTTGAAAACATGTTTTTTTCCTTTGGTACCGGGAATCAAACTCAGTACTTTGTGCTTGCCGGGCAGGCGCTGTGCTGCTGAGCTAAATCCCCGGTCCCTATTCTTTTAAAAAAAAAATCCCCCACACGCCAAAAACAAAGGCTTGGTTTAAAATCACCACCAAGACACTGCTGTGGTGGTACATCGTCTGCTGGACAAAGGTGAGACTGTGATTTATTTTTGACAATGAATGTGTAGCTGTCATACACCAGATTATCAAAAAGCTTATTAAAAAGTGTTACTGTCTCCGAGTACTTGGTTTATGGAGAAGCGAACACTGCTTTTGCCCACTTTGGTTGCAGACAGAAGACAGCAGGACTCTGCTACAGCCTGCTGACAACCAGCGCTTGCTCATGGTACAGGACTGCAGAGGCTTGGGGGCCAGAGGTAAAGTAGGGTGCTGTGCTCCGAGAGGGTCTCCATGGAATTCTAAAGTGGCACCTTCGGCCCAGCTTTGGACTTGCCGGGAGAACATAAAAGAGAACCAGTCTTCCTTTGCCAAACGTGATAGCAAACCTTGGCTTTAAAGTGAATCAGGAGAGCCATTATCTAGTTTTTCAGGAATTTCTTTTAGAAACTGATTCTTGCCTGGGGGGAGGCTAAGCTGCTACTGGGGAATCTCATGGGGGCAGATGTCACAACTTACTCTGCCCACTTCAAGGACAACCACAGGGGAGAGTCCAGGCCTGGAGCTGCTGCGGACACAGCAGCCTGAGCTTCACATGGCAAAATCTTCCAATGTTACAGAGGCCTCCAAGACTAGCTCAGTTGCTTATAGGGTCTTGGGCTGGCACAGTGAGTGGCTGCGGCCAGCTCTGGTTGGCACAGTGTGGCTCAAGAGCCCTCCGACCCTGCCCCTTCCCTGTCTCCCTTCTCATTTCAGTTTCTTCTGGAAGATTCCATGGTCACAGGAAAATAGTATGCAGAAATCCAAAGATGACCGCACTCTGGCTTAGAAGCAGCCTGCCAGGGCCTCTCGGGCCTGGTGCAGCAAATGCCAGCAGGCTGCTCTGGAGACAACGGCCACCCTGTCAAGGCTGGTGAAGCTTTCCCCGTTCCGTCAGCAGTGTCATGGCCATGGCATAGAGGAGGTAGCCCAGGACAAGAAGCAGAGCGCAGGGCAGGGGTCTGATGCTCAACAGAGAGCCCATGACGAAGGCCAGGAAGAACGAGAGCAGTGTCCGGTAGCTGCCCAGGAAGCGCAGGCTGAGCCGGGGTCCCCGGGCCTGGCTGGCTGCCTGCCTCCGCCCCACAGGGCTCAGCAGGTGCCTGTTGGCCAGTGTAGGCTCGATGAGGTGGTAGCGACAGAAGCTGCCAAGGAAGTCATCCCGAGAACACAGAGCAACCATCTGGTCTGCAAACTGAAGCACAAAAACTCAGACGGGACGGTGACAGCAAGTGCGAGAGGCCTCCAGGCAGGCAACATGCTCTCAGGCCATCCCAGGATTCAGGCAAGCCTCGCAGGCTCACTCTCCATCTGGACTCTGTCCACACTCACAGGAAAGAGGGTGGCGGGTGGGTTTGCTGCATCTCCTGGAACCATCCCACAAGTGGCCAGGCCCGCCCTACTGCCCACTCACCCTGCAATTGATGGCAGATGACAGCCGGAAAAGCGCTCGGACCAGAGTGGCGTTCTCGTAGCTCCGAATGGGCTGCAGCTCTAAATCCCCCTGATATTCAATTTCAAACCTCCGCAGCCCATTGATGATCTAGAAAGCCAGACCATGAGGACAACTCAGAGATACACCTTTGCCAACAGCCCAGAAGAGCCTTTCCTGTGTACTAGGACAAGATGCAAAGTCACAGGATGGTAGAGGCCTCTTACCTGGTAGCGGCCCAGGGCTGTGAGGATGAGCCCGTCCTCCCCCACGATGCAGTCTGGGAGCTGCTTCTTCCCATTTTCATCCTGAGTGGTCCCCAGGGCGAGTGTGAGCTGGGCCAGCTGGGCTTCACTAAGCTGTCAGAGAGAAACGTTTCTGCTTTCAATTCCTAGGTGAAAGATAAAGGTCTTTATCCCTTCAGCCTCTGACAATGAATGGTAATGAGGAGACCCAGACATGACGCCTTAGGTGCAGACCCATCTATGAGATGGTCCCCAGGGGGAGGAAGGGGGCCCCTGGGACAGAAGCCATGCTGGAGACTCGTACAGGCCCTGGGACTGGCCATGGGCTGGCTAAGGAGCTAATCTCTCACGGAGGGGACTGCACTGGCCATGGGACAGGCCCCAGGCCTCATACTCGGAATATCTGGCGCAGGTACTCCAGGGCCTTCTCCAGGTACTCGTCTGTCTTGCGGATACTGTCCTGGCCCATCTCGTCCAGGTCGTTGCCTGAGTAGCTGCTGTTTGGGTCTGTGGGGGAGAAGCCCAGCCATGACAGGAAGGACTGGCCAGAGGGCGTCTCCACACACTGGTCAGAGATGGACCTGGCTGTCTGCTTGGCTTGTGTGATGAGCTGAGCCAGGCGTAACACCTGTGAGGGAGACACAGTGACAAATGGCTTGGGTGGGGGGCAACCCCAGCACCTGGCCACACACAGGACAAGGCTGTGCTGTTATCAGACAGGGTGACCTGAGGGCGGGAGGTTACACGCAGACGGGTGAGGACCAGGAGGGGCAACTTAAGACTTATGGATGAACTTCTTGTTTTTGTTCTGTGTTCTGAGACAAGGTCCCACTGTGTAGCCCAGGCTGGCCTGGAACTGGTGCTCCTCCTTTTTTAGCCTCCTAAATGCTGGGATTTCAGGCATGCACCCCTACACCTAGCATATGGATGATCTCTTAAATGTGAAAAATTTCCAAACTCTGCCATTATTATCAGAAAACAAAACTAAACTAAACTAGTCTTTACTGGAAAAAGAGGGAGACACAGCAGTGTCTCCTCAACACACAACCTCCCTCCTCTTTTCTGGAACTCAGGCGCCTTCCAGCTCTGTCGGTTCCCACTTCTGCAGGGACCACAGGGCAGCCGGTGTCCCCAATCACTCACCAGGGTCCGGACCTCAGGCCCGAACATCGGGGTGTACTTGCAGTCCTGGCCCTCCAGGCTGTAGACATGGCTTTTCACCTTAAATGAGGCATCAGTAACAGCTGGTGGCCATGGTGACAAGAAGCTGCCAGTGACAGTAGGAGTTGTGAAGAGCCGGTGCTGGCGATGGGGGATGACGAGTTCTGGCTCCAGGAACAGCTGCTCACCTGGAAGGCAGTACTCGAGTCTGGCACCCACATCACGGGCCAGGCCAGAGTGCGGGTGCTCCTGGAAGGGCTCCGAAACGCTTCCCGTGGGCAGGGCCAGCAGCCCAAGGGCCAGCTCCTGATGCTCAGGGAGCTCCAGCCCACACCAAAAGGAAGCCAACAGTGACAACAGCATGCTGGGGACCATGACCATCTCCTGATCCACCCCATAAGACTCACTAGAGAAGCAATAGTTTTGAAAGAGCTGTACAGAGTTGGTGGTTCCACTCCCCTCCTGTCAGGCACACAGGGACCCCACATGGAGTCTGCAGCCAAAAGGAAGGCGGGGTGCAGCCAGGCTCAAAGACTCCCCGCAAACCAACCTTGTGCAGAGTCACCTGCAAGCCCATGAGGCACACAGCCTTCCCTGGGTCTTTATGTGCTGCTTCCTGCCAAAGACAGCCCTGGCTCCAATCCAGCTGGCCCAGGACTGATGACTTACCTTTTTGGATCATTTCAGCCAGGTTGGGCTGGGCAAATACTTTGGCCACTCGGAACACCATGAGCGCGTTTTTGGGGCTGACCAGGTCTGTGCGGAGCGCACGGTTCAGGAAGCCCACGAAGAGCTTGGTGTACACCAGCAGGTTCTCCTGGACGAAGGGTGCCCTGGGGACCGGGGTGCAGGTCAAGACCACCCACTAGTGGCTGGTGCCACACTGGTCCTAACCCCTAAAGCTCCTGGCTTCCTGGGGCTTCTGGACTCCCTGGACAAGACTTTATGAAGGTGTCAGGAGTGTCAACTCTAGAGGCCAGGGAGGAGAGCAGTGCAGAGGAGGCAGGACCCAGGCCCTCTGAAGACCATGATCTTCGAGGGTGGGGTGCTCTCCAAGAGATTTAAGGCCATCCTGCAAGGCTGGCCTGAAGCCTGATGGGCAGAGGGAAGAAACGGCGGAGGGGCGAGGAGAAGGCTTTGGTTCGGGAGAGGAGCATTCTGACGCGCTGGCAGAGGCCTGGGGTTAGAGGAGCAAGCTGGAGGTGACCAGGGTGCTGCTGCTGTGGTGGCAAAGAAGGAAGGCAGGTGGCTTACGGGCAGCCTGGAACACTGATCTGAGCCCGAAGAAGAAAGGCAAGGAAATAGGCAGAGGATCACCAAGGGGCCTTGGAAAATCCCTTCTGGAACAAAGCTCAGTACAGGATCGGCTGGCCTGTGTACCCACTGTCCAGGGCCTGGGAAAAGGACTCAGATGGCCACCAGAGTCAGAGTCAGAGTCAGGCCACCCAAGCACAGGCCCCCGGCTGTCCGCCCACTGCAGCAGCACACACTCATGGGAGCAGACGGAAGTGAGGGGCGGAAGGGCCAGGGCCTCACCATTTCTCTAACACACATCGGGACTGGGAGTCGTTGCTCTGCGCCTGCTTCTCAGATGCGTACCTCCATGGCTGCAGGTAGCTCAACCACATTTCCAGGACCTAGTAAGGGACACGTGTGTCCTGAAAGCCTGCTGGCTGTGGGGCCAGGGCCCTAGGCTTTCAGTCACATTCTTGGGTGGCCTAGCCTGGCCCCCGAAGGCCAGCTGAGGTAGAGAGGAACATAGCCTCAGCTGTGGACCACAGAAGGGTCCGGGGTCCCATCACGTTCTGGCCTCTGACTGATGCCAGTGGGATCAGCTCCTCCCACAACCCCCAAGAGGGCACAGCAGGAACTTGCGTAGCACAGTGTCATTTACCTCCCGTGGCAGCCCTTCACGGACCAGGCTCATGAGCGCGCCACGTGCAGTGGGGAGATGCCAGAAGACACCCTTCAAGGGCTGACAGACAGGGTGTGGCCAGGCTTTTCTGTTCCTTAGGGTCAGCTTTGGCAACTCTAACCAGCAGAACAATGGCCTTTCAAGACTTCCTTCCCTCCCCTCAAGGTAGCAGTCACTTCCCTCACCCAGAACAGAGGGCAAAAGGGAAGAGGGCCAGAACTTACCGCTCTGAAGGATGCATCCAAAGGCCAGTGGCCAAAGCAGTGCTGCAGGAAGAGGTAGAGCTTCTGCTGGACGAATCTCGGGACAGCGACCCTGCAGGGGTGTGGGTATAACAGGCTGCCACCAAGGAGCGCTGGGGACTCCCTTGGAGTTAAGATCTGTTTTTAGTCCCATTTTTCAGAGGAGGAAACCAAGGTTCAGAGAAGTCAGGGAGCATCCTAAGGACACACGGTCACAGGTCGCTGGGCCAGTATGATTCTTTCATACACCTCTCAGCTCTACACCAGTCACCTGGTCTGCTGGCCCGTGTCCTGAAGGTGGAATGCGGGGAGTAGCGGGGTACGGTGCCACCAGCACAACCTCCCTCTTCAGCCCTGACACTGGGAAGGAAGGGACAAGCCAGAGTTGCAAGACAGGGTCTCTCTCTGGCCATTGAAAAGGGCAGATGTGGAGAGGAAGCTTTAGGAACAGAGCAGTGGGGCAGCCCCTGCAGCTCTGGAGCTGCATGGGGTGAGACAGGCCCCTGTGAGGTCAGGCCTCCGCCACCTGCCTGGCTCAGCTGAGGCCTCCATGCTCTCAGCAGGAAGGGTTGCCTTGTCCCACTCCATGTCCTGGGTAAAAGTCACGGTGGGCAATGTGGTGGGAAGGAAGAGGAGCCCGGAAGCTGCAGAAGCCCTGCCAGCCCGCACCCACCGTTTAAACTCCTCCAAGGGGCTGGTGGCGTGGGAGTGGGCGGAGGGCGAGACCTGCTCAGGCTTTAGGCTGTTGGCAAAGGCATGCAGGTGCTTCAGCAACAAGCGGACTACTAACACGTGCTCCTCAGAGGGTGTGAACGACTCCTAAGGAGGGTAAAGAGGCTGTCAGGACCCAGGAAGTCTGACTGCATCCTGCCCCTTGGCTGGCCACTCTGCCACCCCGCAGGAGGCACGGGCCAGGAGTAGGGCCACCCCCCGGGATCCCACTGTGCCTAGCATTCAGCAGGTAAGTCTCATGTCACTTGCGGCAGTGAAGCGCATGGCCCAGCTCATGGCCAGCCTGCTGCCTGCCCTAGGGAGAGCCAGCTGAAAGACTCACTGCAAAGTGCTCTCCAATGCACCAAAAACCCCACTGCTGCAACGTACAGCCGTGAGCCCCAACACAGTCCTGCCTGTGCTGGCCTCAGGGGTCCCTACACCTGACCAGCCAGAGGACCAGGGACAGGGGCAACCCACTGGAGCTCTGGACCCGGGGTCGCCCGCCTGCTTCCTGGGTGTGTGCAGAAAGCTCTCAAGGCTCACCTGGTAGGGGTGGGAGCTTCTCCTTTCTCCCCAGTTCGCTCTCTGGCCACAACCCTGACTGCTCTCCTGCTTCCTCTCCTACTCACAGCCAGACAGGGGCCCCAGAAGAGTCCTCTCCTGCCAGTGGACCTGTGGTCGGCCAAAATCCTTCGGAGAAGTGCAACTTAACTTCTCACAATACAGAGGACCTCTGGGGCCAAAGCCTGTGAGTGAGGAAAGCTTTTCTGCCTGCAGCAGGGCTCCCCCAGCTATTCAGCATTCAAATGAAGGCGGGCTCAGTGGCGCCCTGGACTGGACTGGGGCGGGGTAACATCTGAAGGCGGAACCCCACACCCATCCTCAGCCCTCTGGGTTTCAAACAACTTGCAATGCTGTTCCGGCATGGGCCCCAGCCCTGAGGCATTGTCCACTCAGGCCTCTGTCATGAAAATGCCCCCACATATCCAGGTCACACCCTCGCTGGCTTAATCTCAAGATGGAACTATGGGGGGAGGCTACGTTCTTCTGCTTATTTTCAATTTTAGTCTCTGCAGCGAAATTTGTATTGTTTTCAAGAAAAAAGTATAAAATATAATGATATACTCTGTCTTCTGTAAAACTCATGCTGAAGTTTAATCTTCATTACAAGATACAAGCACCAAGCAAGACCTTTCACAAGCACCTAGGGCTATGCCTTCACAAATGGACCGATCCAATCATGCAACTAATGAATTAATGGGTCATCTGGAGAGTGGGTCAGCTCTGAAAGCCAGTTTGGCCAGGTCTCCCTCATGCTCCCTTCCTTCTGCCATGTGATGATGCCCTGTGCCACTTCAGGACTCTGAGCTGTAAGACAATCACCAGACGGAGCCCTAGATCAGTGATGGCGAACCTTTTAGAACTCTCATGATACAAACAGCCTGCTGCAGCAATGGGTGCCATTGGTTTACCAACACTGCAGACCTTGGGCCAGAGCTGCAAGCCAAAATAAACCTCTTTTCTTTGTACCTTACCAGCCTGTGGTACTGTGTTACTAGCAACAGAAATGAACTAAGGCACAATAGTAGCATTAATACTAACTAAAAGACCAGAGGAACATCAATGCCAGCTTCTAACACACACACACACACACACCACACACCACACACACAAACTCTGGAGCCTTCTCCTTCTCTATAGCCTCACTCCTGGCCAGTGACCTTGACCCTGGCCTGGGATCCTGGGCTATGATGTCATCCTTTTAGGTCAGGAAAAGCAACAGCACCCTCATAGGAACTGGCAGCCCAACTTCCCCTGCTAGGCACTTAGCATACCCCATCTTTCTTTTTAGAACTCTCATGATACAAACAGCCTGCTGCAGCAATGGGTGCCATTGGTTTACCACCACTGCAGACCTTGGGCCAGAGCTGCAAGCCAAAATAAACCTCTTTTCTTTGTACCTTACCAGCCTGTGGTACTGTAGCCCTTCTTAGGGGCCAGATGCTGGTCTCCTACTTCTGGCAACCACACGGCACCATGTCAGGCTACCTTTATGCTATGTTTGCTAAGCCAAACTTCTCTCCCCACTGTCTCTTCCTAAGCCAAACGCCCACGCAGAAGCTGGGGCCACAGTTGCACTTGGCCTCCTCTATCCAGGGCCTCGAGTATGCTAGGCAAAGACTGCCACTGAGCCACACCCCCCCCGCCCCCCCATCCCTACCACCGGCTCACTTCTTAAAGAGATGTCCCACAGGTGGTGGCACAGCACTTGCCTACTATGTACAAGGCCCTGGATTCAATCTCCAGCACTGACAAAAAAAAAATTTTAAGGAGATGTCCCCAAAGCCCTCAGCATTTTCCGCTGGGCCCAGCCTCTCAAGGACTCTTAGTTCTCCTGCTATTGAGCCTGAATGGCGGCTGAATCTAGGCTCAGCCAAGCTTGCTGAGCACCTGGTCCTCCCAGGGGGCTTGTCCTCCCTCCTCAGCACAGCAGCTTCTTCTGAGCAGGACTCCACTGTGAGCTGAATTTCCCATCCCATCCCACACCATGAGTTCCTCTCTTGGCTCAAATTCAAACATAACTGTTGTGTGTTCCTTTTGCAGCCAGGATAAAATGGACAGAGCTGTGAGCTCAGCCCCATATTCCCACCTTTCCTCACAAATCTGCTAACTCCACTGTCCCTGAAACACTCAAGTCTCTCTTAAAAAAAAAAAAAAACAAAAAAACACAAAGCAAGCCTGAACTCATTTTCACTGACTTCAAATCCATCCACACACTTGTTGCTACTACCTACGCAGACAACAGTCTCCACAACGTCACCGCCTGCTCTCACTTGCCTCCAAGAGTCTACAAGTGGCTGGAGTTCAACACAAGGTCAGGCCTGGCTGGGCTGACAGCCTCGTCAGCTGTAGGGTTGAGCTCTAAGTTCTCCTTACCCACACTGCTGTACATGCAGACTTAGGGTACCTGCAGCCTCCAGGCGGGCTGGTGGCTCTGAATAGGGCAGAACCCACACAACCCAGACGTCCCTAGGCCTCTGCATCTTTGCCAGTTTCCGGGCACCATGGCCTTGCCACTGCAAAGCTCCAATACCTGTGAATGGAGACTCCTCCCCTGGCTGGACCTTGACCAAGCAGATTCCGTAAACCCGACAGCCAGCCAGGGCTATATGCCTCACTCCATCTATGGCTACACATGCCAAAAATCAGGCTAGTTGTAAAGTTGGGATTTAGGCCAGGCTGAAGGCTGACCCCTGCCTTCCCTGAACCTATAGACTACACTCTGGTCAGAACTATTTTTTTTTTTTTTTTGTCTTTTTTGAGCCAGTCTTGCTATGCAGTTTAGGCTGGGCTTGAGCTCACTTTGTAGCCCAGGCTGGTCTTGAACTCCTGCCTCAGCCTCCCAAGTGCTGGGACTACAGGTGTGCACCACCATGCCCAACAGAGCTAGTCTCTTAATCCCCTGCAGCGGGCCTCAGCCAGACCCTCACTCTGCCATTGCGCTGACAGGCACGCTGTGCTCCCACTGTGGGCGGGGGAGGGGAGGAAACTCCAGTACTTGATAGGCGTGGAGGGCCTGGAGGCTGGGTTGGGCAGGGCTGTGGAGGGCGCTGGAGACACTGAGTCGGTAGTGCAGAACCTCCAGCTGAGACAACACACAGAGAGAAGCCAAGAAGAGGCAGGAGGGCAGAGGACAAGACAAGGTGGGGAAGGGGAGACATGGGACAGGACGGGGGCAGGGGAAGTGGGAGAAAAGGAAACAATGAGAAGGAACCCAGAGGAGGAAGGAGAAAAAAACAAAAAACAAAAACAAAAACAAAAGCACGTCAGTGACAATCCAAACAATCACAGCCCCAGCAGCCTGGGGCCAGCAAAGCTCCACCCCGCTTGGTGGCCCAAACCTGGGACTCAAACCACAGGCAAATCTGCTGTCAGGCCCATGTTGGGCGCCCTCCTCAGCCTCGTAGGCTGAGACCCAAGTGGATCCTTCAGATCATGGGGGAAGCCCATTCATGTTGCCGGGGCTGACAGCCTCTTCAGCTCTGAGGTTGACCCAATTCTGTCATCCCACCACCTCCTAGACCACACCATGTGGTGCCTGCCCCCTACCGCCCAGGACTCTAACTGGAATATGCTGCAGGTCATCAAGGCACAGAAGGGCTCAAGGCTCAGGGAAGAAATTTGGGGGGAGCCAGTTTCAGGGTTCTCTGCCCCCAACAGAAAGTATACAGTCGGCCCTCTGCATCGATGGGTTCCACATCCACGGGTCTGATCAACCAGACCAAAACATGGCAGTGGTGGTGAGAAGTGCACCTGTACGGAACATGTACAGGCTATCTTTCTCTTTTTCCTATTTGTTTATTTATTCTTTCATTCATCAGTACTGGGGATTGAACCCAGGGGCTCTAATGTGCTAGGCAAGTGCTCTACCATGAGCAATAGCTCTAGCCCCAATTTTTCTTGCAATTGTTTCCTTAATAATATTACTGTATAACTATTTACGATATTTATAGTAGATCAGGTATTGTAAATGATCTAGAAATGATTTAGTGTACATGGGAGGACATGCACAGGTTATACACAAATCCCGCGTCATTTTATATAAAGGGTAAGATCTGTGGATTTTGGAATCCATGAGGGTCCTGGAACAAGTACCCCCAAGTACTGAGGGACAACTGTAACTTACTGGAGTTTCCTTGGTTGTCTTGAGAAGAAATTTACCAACTTGGGAGGTACTACATATGATATGATCAATTCTTATTTGTCCAAATCATAATCAATGTCCCTTCCATAAGTGGTTCTCTCTCAGAACTGGGGACAAGATGGGTTGCCAAAGTCTGGATCCCGTGGGCAGCACAGACTGAGCCCACCAGGGTCACCCTCTGCCCCACACACCCCATACTCTCCCACACTCTGAAAACAGCCGAAGTTGTACTCATCAGTTATAACTACGGGAAGACAGCCTTTCCTACCTCACTAGGCCTCTGCCTTAAAAATACCCAGGGCTCCCAAGGGAAAGAGCCCCCGCATACCCACAGTCAGCAGGACTGAGGCTGGGACAGGCCCGGACAGCCGGGGTAACAGCAGAGCTGGCAATGCCCACCCCAGGACTCTCTACCCTACCTCCCTGCAGCACTGCCGCTGCCTTCCAGCCAAGCACAGCCCAGAGGCCCCCAGCACACTTCTTCCCCAGGCAGCACGCCCCCAGGGCTCCACACAGGTGAGATGCACTTGCCAGGCGCTGAAGTGACTCACAAGGAGGCAGGAGCATAGCAGGATGGCAAAGTCCTCTCCCAGCCTTCCTCTCAGCCAGACCCCAGGCTCAGGGAGGAACCAAAAAGCAAGGTCTCAGCGCAGTCCCTGTGCCTTCCAGGGCTATATGCCTCACTCCACCTATGGCTACACATCCCAAAAATCAGGCTAGTTGTAAAGGTGGGGATTTAGAGAACACAGGGCTGGCACCATGGCCACTTCCAGGGCTGTAGCCATCACTGCCTCCAGCTAGTAGGTAGTGAACACATGCCCTGGACCCACAGTGGGACTTCAGGTGCTGCATTTCCATCATTTGGAAAGCAAGGCTAGGCAGGGACTGGCAAGGATCTGTGTGAGGTGGGCATAGCGCAGGCCCCAATAAACAGCAAAAGGCCGATAAACAGTAAAAGGCCCCCTAAACAGAGGGGAAAACTGCAGCTGTTTTCCTCAGTGCCCATCCACTCAGGTTTCTTGGATTGTGTTTTGTTCTCTGCCTCACTAGGAGGAAGCAAAGGGCAGAGCCTCTTGGATGCCCAGTCCCCTCAAAGCCAGTCATTCTGGTAGGTCTCATTCCCCTAAGGTCTGACAAAGAGGAAGCAAATGGGACAAAGGCTAAGCCGCCTCTACTAGATCCTGTGAAGACACAGGTGACCACCCAGAAAGGTCTTTCTGGTTGGCCCTTGAAAGTGGTGTGAGTGCCATTCACTCAGAAGACACCGTGACAGACAAAATAGTGCAGCACAGCGGCCCCCGCCTCCGCACAGCCAAGACACATGCACGGGGCTGAGCACCTAGGAAAGAAGCTGGGCCTGAGAACAAACCCAGGGGAAAGCAGCCCAGCCCCCAGGCCACCGCTCATCAGCCAGAAACATGCAGTGAGTCTGCACAGGAAGCAGGCAGGGCATGGCAGGCTCTCGGTGGCTCAGCCAGGATGGACAGTGTCGTGGGCCTTTCCCCATTTCCCTCCTCCTAGATGATGCCGAGGATGAAGTTCTGGAGCACCCTGTGCTTAACAGTGCGAGCCAAATCCCATCCTCCACACCGGCAGCACTGGGGTCTTACAACTGGCTGCAGAGACTGCAGTAGGAGGAGGAGCAGAACAGTAGTCTCTCCTCAGAACTGGAGTTCAGTTACAGGACCCCTCTCAACTTTTACTTTTTAATTTTTTCCCCACTACTGGGTGAACCAAGGGCCTTTGCACTAAGTTGAATCCTCAGCCCTTTTTATGTATATATATATTTTAAATTTTGAGACAGCTTTGCTGAATTGCTTAGCCTGGACTCCCATTTGTGATCCCCCATCTCAGTCTCTCAAGAGTGTTGGAATTACAGGCACGCACCACCACAGATGGCTCCTTTCTTATGCTGAGACAGAGTCTTGCTAAAATGCTAAGCTGTCCAGGCTGGGCTCAAATTTTCAATCCTTCCACCTCAACCTCCCAGACTGCTGGGATTACAAGCATGTGCCACCATGCCAGCTACCTCTAGACTCTCCATTCTTGAGGAAGCCCTCCAGAATTTTGCCTGGCACTGACAAAGTCAAAGCGATGCACAGAAGCCACAGACAGCAGACCGAGTTGGTGACAGTGCCTTGGGCACTGGACCAGGCATGTGTGTTTCAAGTTGACTCTTAAGTGTCCATGGGCAACTCAATAACTGGACAGAACCATTTCACCCTGAGGAACTTAGTGCCTGGCCCTGGGACAGCAATGCCAGGAGGTGCCAGGAACTCTGCCATGTCCATGCTTTTGCAAACAAGTGCCTTGCCCAGGAAAAGAGGCAGGGGAAAGGCCAAGGAAGAGGAAGGGAAGGAAAAGGAGGAAGGAGAGAAGGAGGAAAAAGACCAGGGTACATGCAGAAGAGTAGAAGGTCCCACCCAACACAAAAGTGGTTGCTTCTGATGCTCTTGAGGAGGTAAGGACAGGACGGGCAGGCACAGGATATCAAGTTCACCACAGTGGCAGGTGTCCACTCAGGGTCACGAAGATATTGCTGATGGTGACGGAGAAACTGGGAAGTGTCTCCCAGAGGCCTCTGCAGTTTCCCCTACCTCCACAGCAAGAGCACCAGAATCTCTGCTGTTGCCCTGCCACAAGGGAACCCTGAAAGCTCCACAGGGAAGACCCAGAAAGGATACACCTCCAGGCCCTAAGGGCCCACCCTTTGTAGTATAAGACCCTCATACTGCAGAACAGTACCCACCTGGCATTAGGTGTCTGAATGAGGGGTGGATGTAACTTAAGACTGAGAACAAGAAATGGCAAATTGACCAGAGCCAGTAACAGGAAACACAACTGGAAACATACCTTGGCATGAGGGGACTGCATTTTCTGGTACATCTCCAAAGAATAATGGTGAAGCCACATTTCAACAAAAACCTACAAAAGAGCATTAGCTGATCAAAATGTTTAACAATAGTGTCAAGACCAGTCCATGGGGAAAGGAGTGTCTCCAATAAGTAGTACAGGGAAAGTAGCGTATCAATATACAAAAGAATGAAGTTGGAGCTGGGCATGATGGTGCATGCCTGTAATCCCAGTACTTGGGAGGCTGTGGCAGGAGGATCTTTGCGAGTTTGAGACCAGCCTGGGCTACAAAGTGAGCTCAAGGCCAGCCTGAACTGCATAGTGAGACCCTGTCTCAAAAAGACAAAATAAAAAGATGATCAAGAATGAAACCGGAACCTTATCTTGCACCATATAAAAAAGTTAACTCAGTTGGGTGTGGCAGCACACCCCTGTAATCTCAGCACTTTGACTGAAACAAGAGTATCACCAAGAGTCTGAGGCCAGCCTGGCTGAGGTGAGTTCAAGGCTAACCTGGACTATATAGCAAGACCCGGTCAAAAATACGAAACAAAACGAAACAAAACAACTAACTCAAGGTGGACCAGCAACCTGAATGTAAGCTAAAATCATGAAACTCAGAAGAAAACAAAGAGGAAAGCTTCACTACATCAACAATTCAAACAATTTCTCTGACATGACACCAAAGCACAGGCAATGAAATGACAATGGGATTTCATCAAAAGACTTGCTTTTTTTTTTTTTTTGGTGGCAGTACTGGGGATTGAATCCAAGGGCTTCACACTGAGCTACATCCCTAGCCCATTTTAAAATTTTTATTTTGACACATGGTCTCCCTAACTTGCTCAGTTGCCTGGGCTGGGCTTGAACCTGCGATCCTCTTGCTTCAGCCTCCTACACTGCCAGGATTCCAGGCAAGCACTACCATGATCAGCTAAAAGTCACTATTGATAGAGTAAGAATATAACCCACAGAATGGGAAAAAATACTTCCAAACCATGTACCTGAAAAGGAATTTATTCAGACTATGTAGAGAATATCTAAAACAACAAAAAAATTAAACAATCTGATTTTAAAATATGCAAAGGAACTGGGCATGGTGACACACACTTGTAATCCCAGCTCTTGGGAGGCTAAAGCAGGAGGATCACAGTGAGTTCCAGGCCAGCATGGGCTATAGTAACTTTCAGACCAGGCCACAGTGAGTTTAAGACAAGCCTGAATTACAAAGCAAGACCCTGTCTCATTCTCTAAAGATACACAAATGGCCAATTAAGCACATGAAAAGAGGCTGAACATCACTAACCACTAGGGAAATACAAACCAAAACAAGGAGACACCACTTCACAGGTCTTGGAGTAGCTATTATCAAAAAAGCAGAAAATGCTGGGGGAGGGTAGCACATTGGTGTAGCGCCTGCCTGGCAATCCGGAGTGCCTTCCCATGAGAACACAGGGCTGGCACCATGGCCACTTCCAGGGCTGTAGCCCCAGTACCACCCCCCCCAAAAAAAAGCAGAAAATAACAAGGCATATTATGGATATGAAGAAACTAGAACCCTGTGTCCTCCTGATGAGAATAAAATGTTGAAATTGTCAAAAGCTGTTCGGGGGCCAGGGATATAGCTCAGTGGCACAACACCTGCCTGGCAAGCGCAAGGTCCTGAGTTTGATTCCCGGTATCAAACAAAAACAAAAACTGTACGGTGGTACTTCAAAAAAAATTAAACACAGAGCCAAGCACTGTGGGTCCCAGCCACGGTTGAAGCAAGAGGGTCACTGCAAGGTCAAGGCCAACCTGGGCTACACAGTGAGTTCAAGGCCAGCCTGAACTACAAAATGAAACCTGTCACAAAACAAAATATCAAGCCAGCCTCGGCAACTTAGAGACCATGTCTCAAAATAAAAAATGAGCTGGGGATGTAGCAAAAGCCCTGGGTTCAATCCCCAGTACTGCAAGAGGAAAAGAAACTAAATATGGCAGGCTGTGGCAGGAGGACAGCAAATTCAAATCCAACCTGGGCAAATTAGTGGGGACGCTGTCTCAAAATACAGATAAAAGAACTGGGGATAGAATTCAGTTGTAGAACGCTTGCCTACCATGTACAAGACAAAACAAAAACAGAATCACCATGTGATCCAGCAATTCCATTCCTGGGTATATACTCAAAAGTTCTCAAAGCTGATACTGGAGATATTTATATACTCCTGGCCATAGCAGCCTTATTCCCAAGAGCTAAAAAGTAGAAGCAAGCCGGGTGTGGTGGCTCACACCTGTAATCCTAGCACTCGGGAGGCTGAGGCAGGAGGATCGCTGTGAGCTTGAGGCCAACCTGGGCTACAAAGTGAGTTCAAGGCCAGCCTGAACTGCATAGCGAGACCCCGTCTCAAAAAGACCAAAAAAGAAAAAAAGACCAAAAAAGAAAAGAAAAAAAAAAAAAAGACAAAAGCTGTGTAATCTAGATAAATACTCTAGACATGAAGTACCTAGAGTGGTCAAATTCTTAAGAAACAGAAGACAGAATAGTGGTTTCAGGGGCCTGAGAAGAGGGGGACATGGAGTTACTTAAGGGGTACAGTTTCAATTTCTAAAGATAACAGAGCATTTTGGTGGTTAGCATAGCAGTGTGAACGTAGTTAACACTACTGGACAGTTCACTCAGAAATGGTTAAAATGGTAAAACTTACATTATATGTACTTTACAATAATTAACGTTTTTTTATTTAAAAAAGCTCCTTCAGTGTTCTGGTCCAGGAAACAGAACCCTTCAACTCTGTCCTGTTAGTGTGCGTCTCAGTCATCTGCCCACCTCATGGCTGGCACAGCCCACAGCCCACATCAGCTTGGGCCATCTGTACCACCATAGCTTCCTCTTATCATCGATGATGTTTCCTACCATTTCAACCCCTTGGTGCTATTGCAAAAATGGGCTGGGACTATAGCTCAGCAGCACAACACCTATCTGGCAAGTGCGAGGTCATGAGTTCAATTCCTGGTACCAAACAAACAAACCACAAAAAACCTGGAAGCTTCTAAAAGCAGTGCACCACTCACACTAGTTACATTCATGTAAGTTAGGAGACCAAATCATATCCTCTCTATGTTTCAGGCTGTCAAAAATAATGCTGTGGGCACACACACGGGCACACAGTGGCACGCACCTATAATCTCAGCACTTGGGAGGCCGAGGGAGGATTGCTGCAAGTTTGGGGTCAGCCTAGACTGCACAATGAGCTCAAGGCCAGTGTGAACTACAAAGTGAGACCCTACCTCAAAAAAACACAAAACAACCACAACAAAAAGAGAGCAATGCCGTGGCTACCAAGTCAGCCTCCGAACCTACACCAAAACCAATTTGCTGTAGTGCACAGAGGGGCAGGACTGCTAAGGAAGTGGGCCAGCCAAGATCCTTACTGGTAGAGCACTGCTTAGTGAGCCTGATGCCCTGGGTTCAGTGGGGCGTGTGTGCACGCACAGATTTCTTGTCTATTTTCTGTATGTCATACACTCTCAGAGTGATGGGATTTGAGAACTATCCTCATGCTTCAGGACTCCACTCCACATGCTGGAAGATGGCTGAACATTTTGGGGTTATTTTGTTTCTTCTTTTAAATATTTATATATTTATTAGTTTTAATTTTTATTAGCACATGTTTGCAGGACATAACTATCACATTCACTGTGGGAAGTTGGTACATGTACATCACACATTTTAATTCTTTTTACTTCCCTTTCTCCACTTCCTTGCCCCTGAGCAGTTAGTTTTGAAATGGAGGCAGAGACCACCCTCACTGGCTCACCTGGAGAAGAGTTTCTGACCTCCAGATCTCCTGGGAGGTAGGGTCTGCATTCACAGATGTCTGATGAGAGATATGTCGCTTCAGGAGGCTGGTGTGGTGGAGGCCATAGGAGGCAAAGGGCATGGCCGGAGTCCTGATGGTAACATAAAAAGAGGTCTCAGTTACGGACTTCTGCTTGCCAAGTCAGGGACAATCCTGCTACCAGTATGATGATGTGGGTAACCAATCACAACATGTTGAATCCTACAATGTGGGCTGGACCAGCATCTGCACCTATCAGACCTCCAGGTGCAGACTGATATACTTGAATAAATAAACAGGGAACAGTGGTCCTTAACATTTAACAAGTGCAGAAGAGAAAGTTAAAAAACAACATTGGGCAATTGCTCTATGAAGAACTGATTTGGCCAAGAATTAACAGAGGATGCTAACATGAGTGGTAATTACATACTCTCAACATATCTTCCCACTAAATCATCAGTATTAATTTAGGCACAAAGTATAAATTTAACTTTATAGCAGAAAAACCTGGCTGATCTTCTTGGCCCAGGGACCAAGCTTTTGTCATCAGTAAAGGGGCACGGGGATAACACAGGTCTCCTGACTGTACGTTTGAGAAGGACCTGGTGTCACCACTGCATTGTTCCTGCCCAGAGTCCAAGCTGGGCCTAGTCATGAGCAGACAAATAACAGAGAGCCCACATAAAAGAACATCTACAGCCAACCCGTGCACTTAATGGGTCAAAGCTGGGAAAGACAGAAAGATTGAGGGCACCCGAGAGACCACTGCACACAGTGAGTGAGCTGGACCCCTGCCAGACAACAGATGTGAGTAGGACAGCTGGCAGTGAGCCTTACAAATGGCCTGAGGATTAGGTGGTGGCCTGGTAGCAGTACTTGTTTCCTGGTGTGGACATAAACACCAAGGTCGTGGAGGAGAATGTGCCGGCTTCAAGGAAATGCACTCTGGAATACAGAGCGGTCCTGGGTTGGCACATCTGTAACTTGCTCAAACAGCCCCCTCTAGGGGGATGTAAAATACTGTACAGTGGAAGAGAGGATAAGAAACACAGCAAAGTGTCAACATGTCAGAAGTCTGGGTGAAAGGACTATGAGAGTTCTTTATGTTATGCATAGTATCTTTCCAAGAAAGATACTCTGAAGTATCTTTCCAGAACTCTGAAGTTATTTCAAAATAAAAAGTTAAAACAAATGAAAAAAACAGAAAACCAAGCCTAGAAAACTGCTTGGTAGCTACATTCTGCCTTGTAGAGGGCGTAAATAAACCCTGTCTCCAAGTCTTCCTTCCCAGGTGCAATATCACCACCATGCCAGGGTCACCAGCCACCGTTACCACCTAGCAGCTTCTCCTCCTTCCTAGACCCGCAATGCACTCTGAGAGCACTGGATCACACATAAGTGTGGGTGAAGGCACGGCCCCATATGCACATGCCAGCAGGTGTGGGCTGGACCAGCATCTGCATCCTCAGGAAAGGAGTAGTCCAGGGAAGAGTGGGAAGGGGCAGAAAAGCCAGGGCAGGAGGGGTTCCAGGGAGGAGTTGGCCAAGAGACCCCAGCCAAAAGGCCCACCAAGCCTTCACGGAACCAGCTAGAGACTCCCAATTCACCCTCAGACTGAGGTGCCAGTGTGAGGCTGAGCCTGTGTGGCCTAGTACAAAGGCTTGCCTCCTTAGCTACCCCCCAAGCCCACACAGGCTAATCCTTCTACCCCTGCTGTGAAGGATGGGGTGGAGCATCCTGCTCACTACCTCAGTGGGTCGTAGACGCCACCAGCAGTGAGGACTGCTGTAAGTAGAGCACAAGTCTGTTGTGCATGTTGTCAATAAAGCCAGAGACCTGACAGCCTCAGTGATAGCCAGATACCACCAGACACTAAAACACAAGATGATCTGGTTGCGCTGGGACAGCTGGTGTTAGGAAATGAGGCATAAGAAAAACTGGGGAGTCTTGGAAAAGGGGTGATACCACTGTCCCTACGGGTGATGCCTATGACCAGGCAACTCCCTTATAGAAGAGCCAGGTCTTAATGACCAAGACAGCCTTACCTGGGAGCTGGTGACGGGCTGGTTCCACCAGGACTGGAGGAAAGTGGAGGGGGCACGCTGCCTTCAGTGGGCAGGAACCATGACAGGTACCTGTCCACCAGGGTGAAATAGGCACAGTCTGAAGTACGGACACGGAGGGACACGGGGAGTGGCTGGAAAACCAAACTCATCATTAGTGTGGGCTCTGGGGAGCACCCTGGCTTCCTCAGGAATGAGTAACCACAGGGACGCTCCAGGCCAAGCCCCAACCCGCCACAGCAGGATGTGGTAAAGGAAGCTTCACTCAGAGGCATCCTTTCCGTACCTTCTGAGTGATGAGGCTCAAGGCAAAGAAGAATATGTAATACTCAAACGGATCTGTTGGCAGGGTCAAGGAGTAAACACAGGATTCATGGGCCACCTCCAGTGACATGTGCTGACCGCTCACAGCCTCCCCACCTTGCAGGCTACCAAAGGATACTGAGGGCCAAGTGCAGGCCAAGGCCCCCGCTGGGGGGAAACTGAACCTTGTTGTGGTACAGAGGGCTGTCAGGGAGGATGCGCTCCTGGATGGATGCCTTCACAGGGCCCTGTGGAGACAAGAATGTAGGCTTCTGGGCAGGCGCCAGCACGGTGCCTTCTAGGCAGTGCAACTCTTTGGGAAGGCTGCTGAGGAAGAGGTGAGCATGTAGAACCTGCCTGCGGAAACAGTGCCCTTCCTCTGGCACTTGGGATAATAGGCTTTGCTTAGAATTTTTCTTGTCATCCTCACAAAAATCCAAACAGGAAGGAGAGCAGTGGAATGTGCTTTTGGGCCCCATCTCCTTTGTCTCTCATATGTACCGGGCAAGTCACTCCTCAATTTGCCCCTGAAAGACTGGAGATTCAGAAGAGCAAAGGAGCCAGTCACATCACCTGCCTGCCACCCAAGTCAGCTGCACACCATAGTGCCTTCTCTATCAGCAGAGTCTGTAATGACCTCTGAAAAGCTGCTACTGCAAGTTCTACTTTGGGATGCCTTCTGGGTCCTGCCTGCTGCCTAGGGTCACCAACCCTCTCAGCCCCTGCCTGCTTACTACCTTAGCCACTTTTTAGCCTCAACCACCACTCTTACCACCACAGTTTACTTACAGGTAAGTAGGAGACAGGAAAGTCAAACTTATAGTCTTCAGCTTGAAGTTTATAAACCAACTTCATCATTGGGCCACTGTACATAAAATTAAACAAAAACAGCACAAATGAACTGCAAACTATCTCACTCTGATTTCTTCTTAATTTAGTAAGTAGAATGATTTAAAAACAAGATCACAAGGAAGTATCTAGCCCTTCATAGGCACCAAACCTACCTACCCAGGATCTAGAAATTCCATTACAATGCCGTATTCCACAGGGTTCACACGGCCCTGCAGGCATCGGAGGTTCCAGCCAACGAGGACACCATCCAAACTGCCGAAGATGCTCTCTACCAGCAATGGGAAGATGCTGTGCAGCTCCTGAAACAGTGCAGGGAGGCTGGGGGCAGACTTGTCAAGGACCAGTGCCCACTCCCATCCCAGCTGCTATTCTGCATTATGCACTGCCCACCTCTCTCTGAAAAGGTCACTCCCAGGTAGAGACCCACAGGACCACCTGTGTCCCATAGGAATGCTGGTGTAGTGGTGAAAAGCACTTCTGAGTTCTTCCACTGGGGATACTGGACAAACCAAGCAGCACCACTTTATATGTGGGCTGGTTAAATAAGCCAGCCTGAGGCTGAGGCAGGAGGATCTCTGTGAGTTAGAGACCAGCCTGTGCTACAAAGTGAGTGCAAGGCCAGCCTGAACTGCATAGCAAGACCATGTCTCAAAAAAGACAAAAAAAAAAAAAAAAAAAGACAGCCTATGATTAAAAATGTAGTTAAAAAATTTGCTGGGTGTGATGACATATGCCTATAATCCCAACACTTGGAGGGTGAGGCAAGGAGGACTACCATGAGTTTAAGGATAACCTCAGCTACACAGCAAGACCTTGTCTCTAAAACAAAACAAAACAAAACAAAACAAAACAAACAAAATAAAAAATAGAGGGGCGGGGGATTTAGCTCAGTGGCACAGTGCCTGCCTGACAAGCGCAAGGTCATGAGTTTGATTCCTGGTACCAGAAAAAAAAAAAAAAAAGAGTGCAAAAAAAAAACCCAACAAACTTTTGATCTAAAGAGAGCTATTAAAAAGGTCAAGATTGTTCATTCTCAGTGAAGTCTCTGAAACAAAATTTCAACTTACTGTCACTTGGTATAAACCTATTATATAGGCTGATTTCCTGGGCTTGACAAGTGTAGTTGTAAATTAAATACATATTTTAAAAATATTTACCTGAGGGTTTTTCTACCTTGGCACTGTTGACATCTCAGGCTAGACACTTTTTGTGATGCAGGGGATTATCTGTGCATTAATCCCTGGCCTCTATCCTTTAGAAGTATATACAGTAAATGTGCATATGGCATGCCCCAAAGAGATGTCATACCTTTGCTGGAAAATCTTCAATGACTTTTACCAAGTCTTGGCACCTCTGTGCAAAGGGCTTATTTATAGAGTCGGCCTAGGAGACAAAGTGAAAAAAAAATCACAAACATGTATGCTCTACACCTTCTGCAGGCATTCTGGGTTGAATCAAAATGGTTATTCAAGCAACAGATATGAGTCAGACACACAATCACTAATCTCGTTCCCCAGCACCACATGCATCAGGTTCTACATGTGTTAGTGGCCCCAAGGATGCTACTAAAAGGGAAAAGCTATAGTTCTACCCTCTCTAGACTAGTCCTTCTCAGGCTTGCTTCTAAGCACTGTCCTCAGGCAATCAGAGAACTGTGCAATATCAGAATGAAACAGACTTCCACCAACCCATAAGCAGGGATTCAGCGCTAGGGTCAGCCTCACAACCAGCAGAGAACTCCTGCTGTATAAGTTATCTCTTGTAGTCTACGAGTACTGAGTCTGTACACATGAATCAGAACTTCCCACCTCACCAACTGTGACTACACTATCATGATCATTAATGAGAATGCCCAACAAATCAAAGATTACAGCAGAAGCATTCTTTTCTCTTAATCAGTGGAGAGGAGGGGAGGAAAAGGAAGGATAGGGGAAAGGAAGGGGGAAAGGGAAAGGACGGGGAGTGGGGAGAGGGAAAGGAGGGCGAGGAGAGGAGAGCCTTTAAAAAAATAAGGTAGCCTGAAATTATACATGGCCTCATCCAAGTCAACAGTAATCATGAAGGCAGCAGAAAAACCAGCAAACATTTAGGACAAGAACTGAGAAAATCTACCTGAAGTCATGTGTTGTGGAAAAAGTACCCTGACTACATAGAGAAGAGAATTCTGTGTAAACAGGTTAAGATCAGGTGGAGAGGCCCCAGTGTTAACAAGAGGGCTTTCCCAAGGATGTCTAACACCTTGTCCACCTCCAAATACAAGTAGATATTACAGAGCCTGAGTCAGAGATGGAGACCTCAGCTCTTCAAGCGATGGGTCAAATCTGTTGGCTCTAGTGATGTATACAAAGTAAAATTGTCATTCCTAATGTTGACAAAAAGCAATCCCAGAGAACTAAAATTAGAAATCTTTATCATCGCTACCTCCTCCATACCTCATTTTTCAGCATCATGTGTACTACTTAAAATACAATCCCAGCTGCCCCCAGCACAGCAGTCCCCCTCCATTTTTCACTGATAATAGTTATCAGAACACTTCATATGTGCATAAGGACTTGTGGATCGTCAACATTCTGACAGATGTCTTTCTCACATACTTCTCCCCACTACTCTGGGAAGAATGAAAATGGCATCTGAATTAACTCATTCTGTAGATGAGAAAACTAGAGCTCAGAGGTTGAATAAACCCAAAGTCCTACACTAATAGGAAGGCCAATTCATGCTTAATCATTGTAACTCTGAGTCTTGTGCTATCTCTACTGCATGCTAATAGAGACAAAGCACTAAAAAACAACCACTAGAAAGTTCTCTGAATCAGTGGAAAGAACTGTTAAGTCCCTCAGCTATACAACTATTGTCACACTGACACTTCAAAGGCAACTGATATTTACCAGTACAGAGCTGGGCTGTTGTAGGTGAGGGAACGCCATAGTAGCCTTTCTTGGAGAGTCAAAAATGGTCGTGTTAGGAAATCACTGTGGAAAAACAAGGATGAACTATCAGTATCTGCCACACAACAAAATATTATGGAGTTTCACAATACCCAGGAGAATCATAACTCAATACACTGCACTGTCAATTCCATGCTTTATAGAAATGTCGTTCTCACACAGTCCATGGGCCAGCTTTGGAGCTGGTGCCTTTGATAACTCTTATACAGCTCTTACTACATGCCAGGACTGGTTTTGAGGGCTTTCTACACATTTCCTCATTTGATCCTCTGTGATATGCAGAATTCGAAAGATAGCCTCCTCCATTCCTATCCCTTGGTTATTCAATCAAACAATACTTTATATATGCAACTCAAGTCCCAAGTCAGTGGACTTTAAGATTAAGAACAATCTCCAGCTGATAGTGCTATATCTCCAAGGAACTGGATTGTGTCAGCAACCTCAATAAACTTAGAAGCAGATTCTTCCCTAGAGTGGGCAAATAGGAGCAAAGCCACCAACACATTGATTTTTGACTTATAATACCCTAAGCAGAGAATCAAGCTTGAGTCTGCCTGGACTTCTGACTATACATCTGGGAGATAACAAATGGGTGCTGTTTTTTGTTTGTTTTGGAGGACTGAATCCAGGGCCTTCATACTGAATTACATCCCCAGTCCTCTTTATTTTGAGACATTTCTCACTAAGTCATGAAGTTGCCCAGGTCAGGCATGAACTTTCAGTTCTCCTGCCACCCTAACTGTGTGCGTTATGGTTTGTGTCTAGATGTTCTCCTAAGCCTCATGCAGTCATGGGGCGGGCTTCTAGAGATTTTGATTGACTCATGGTCCAAAGCTGGGATTATGGGGAGCCTGCATACAATATAAGGGACGGAAAGAGGCTAGCTCTTGCTGATCCTCCCTTTTTGCTCTTGCTGCTTTTGTTGTTTTCTGCAGCCATGAACTGTTGCCCTCTGCCATGTGCCACTCTGCCTTGGAGCCAGCCAAGTATGGACTGAAATGTCCACAAACTGTGAGCTAAAAAAACCTTTCCTTCTTTAACTTTGGGTGTCAAGTATTGTGTCCCAGCAAGGACAGAAATGTAACCAAGACAGTGGGGTATTTTAAGGCGCTAAGCTTGTTAAACAAAAATAGAAAATACATCATCCTACCCTTATGAGGTCAGTACAGATGAGGAAACAGAGAGAATGGGGCTAGCTCACTTGCCCTACCCAGCCAGTAAATAGCGAACCAAAATTGAAATAAGTAAGTCTCCTCACAAACCTCTCACAAACAGGTGGGTAAAGCACATTACCTACGCTCTATGCAATGAAAGCAGAAAAGCCAAGGGAACCTTTGAACAGGTCGTTAGAAAATTTCCAGATTGGTACATCTCTGCCCAACCTGTGCAGAAACTAGAAACAGCCAGAGTTGGGCGGAACAGAGAGGAAGCCTGCAGAGTTCTGTCAATGGGATAGTGAGGGCTTTCCTGGCACAGCTTTACCGAGCACACAAGCGAAGACAGTGAGGTGGCAAGCGGCAGTGTACATGGAGGGAGAGACGCTGGCCATAAGGAAGCCCTGAAGGCAGTTGGGAGGAGACGCAAGTCTTCGCCATTTCAAAGAGGAACACCTCCCCAATTTTTAAAATTCTTAACTTTAGCTGTCGACTTCAGTGTTAAGGAACACTTCAAATGCCTCAGTACTGACCTACTTGGTCAAGGGAACACCACACAAATCCCAAATTACCAAAGCAGCATAAAACGTCACACTGTTTGATAAGGGCAATGCTTAGAGATGAAGTGAAAGCATCTCTTGCTCAGATGAAGCTTCAACGCCAGCAGCTGCAAGAATGAGGTCTAGGCCAGTCAAACTCAGGTCTTTCCCTGAAGAGGGCTGTGACTCCAAACACACGGTTTTTGACCCTGTCGCGGTCACGCTCCCCTCATCACACCCCTCTGCATGCTGTGTACGGACAGTTCGCTTCACCCCACCCCAACATCCACTTTAGGAGCTGCTTCGGACCCGATTTTGGGATTTCTTCTGATAGTGCCGGTCCTATGCCAACGTCAATCAGGCCAAGCGTATCGCCCGACTGCCAAGACCTTGTGGCGGCTGAAAAGCAGCAGCATCTCCTATGGAGTAAAGCGTTGAGACTCCCCTATTAAAGAGCAGGGACTGAGGCTGAGCGATGTCCAGCCACACAGGAGGAAAGGCACGAGTCGGTACCGCTCATCGAGCCTAAGGTTCACCTTTAACCCAAGGTTCTCGTTCCCTCTACTCGTTGGGCAAATGTTAACCGACCTCATCCCGAGACGAGGCGTGCGGGCTGCGGGAGAAGGTGCCACAGGTCAGACCCCGGGACGGTGGTAATAAGGTCTTAGACGGAGCCCTCTCCTTTCCCCACCTCGCCGGCCCAGACCAGTGGAGTGGCCGGTGCCCGGGCCGAAACCCTGGGCTCGCGGGGAAAGGAAGGCGGCCTCGGCGGGGGCACGAGGAAGCCGCAGGAGCGCGGAACCGTCCCGCGCGTGGCTTCAGCCACTCACCTGTGGAACTTTTAGCACCGCAACCCTAGGACTGGAAGACGCCATTCAGCCGCAGGGCGTCAAACTGTCGTCATCAAACTGCGCGCGACGCCACACCCCTCCCCCGACCCGGCGGGAAAATTGCCTCTATCGCTTCCATCGGCTACCTCAAAAAGCGCGTGCGCAAAGCGAAAGCCCGCCCCATTGGAGGGGCGCTGTTGAAAGCGCATGCGCAGAGGTGGCTCTGAACCCCTGTGGCCTGAATTTAACGCATTTTATTATTTTTTAAACACATTTCAGCCACAGCAGGGAATGCTCCTGGCTTGAACAGAGGCCGTTTATTAGGCCCGCCAGCCGCACTTCCCTAGTGGGGAACCTGTACGGTACTCTACTTTGATTGTCCTTCCTTTATTAAGTGCCCACTATATGCCAGTCTCTTTCCTATGTGCAGCTACCTAAGGAAGCATGACAGTCTACTGTAGTAGGGAAGGTCGATCGGCAAGAAGCGGACCTCTGTGCTCTCCTACGTCATTCCCCATGCCTGACACACTGCCTAACCCCTAGTAAGCACTCTGAAAGTCTATCTGTAAAGATCGAATGACCAGGTAGGCTTCTCGGTTGGCCCTGCAGGGAGAGGGACGGCCAGGAGAGGGCGCTGCGGGGGCGCACGGCGGCGGGGAGGGCGGGGCCAGGCGCACGCTTGCCAGCTGTTGGCCGCGATGGCGGCGGCTGGCGGCGGGCTGGAGGCGGCTACGCTGCAGAAGCTTGCCCTGCGGCGGAAGAAGGTGCTGAGCGCCGAGGAGATGGAGCTGTACGAGCTGGCACAGGCAGCGGGCGTCGCCATCGACCCCGACGTGTTCAAGTGAGCGAGTGCGGGTGGGGGCCTCGCGCTCTTCTGTGCTCCAGGCCCCCTCTCGCCCGGACCCGCTGGTCTGGGAGGCCCGCCTTCCCCGCACGCGCCTTGTCAGGGTTTTTCGGATGGCCCCGCGGGTCCGTCCCTGCTGGGGCAGGCCCTGCCCCACCGCGGGGCGGGCTCACTGAGCACGGCGTTTGTTCTCACCAGGATCCTGGTGGACCTGCTGAATCTGAACGTGGCGCCCCTCGCCGTTTTCCAGATGCTCAAGTCTATGTGCGCCGGGCAGAAGTTGGCGAGCGATCCCCAGGACCCTGCAGCTGTGTCTCTGCCCTCGTCCAGCGTACCCGAGACTCGAGGTCAGAGCTGGGCCCCGTGCTCCCAGCCGCATGTGGCGAGGGTGGCTGGGCACAGCGTCAGCTTGGCCCTGAATGGCCAGGCTTAATCCTGTCATCCCAGGATTTACAGGGTCAGGTTCCAAGCATTCTTGGGAGTGCACTTGCAGTTGCAGATCGAGGGGTCTCAACAGGGAGCTGGGGTGGTCCAAGCAGGATAGGGTTCTACTGCCCCAGTTTCCTCTACCTTTTCACTCATACCTTCATTCCACAGAAATAAAGGGGGCTTTGGTACCTGACCTCCTGGCATTTTTGGCCTCCGGGGAAGTGTTTAGAGAATAGTGCAGGCACCCCTTTCCTGTGTCAACCTGTGCCCAGGTTCTGGCCAGCTGGGCCTCCCTTGGAGAATTGCAGATGTTGGTGAGGAGAGTGTCATGGTAGAGCCTCTGGTGGCTGCTCCAACTCCTCATCCCTGTGTGTTGCTTCTGCCCAGGGTGGCTATCTGGAACCTTCTGAAATGTAGCAGAACCTCCCAGGCAAATGGAAATAAGACCTGGGCCGGGTCCCTTGCCTGGAAACACACACCCACACAGGCATCCTGAAGAGGGGCAGAGGGCATGCCAGGGCCCCTGTGAGGAGATGTGCCAGGGTCCTGGGAACCCTCATGTCCTGGTCAGAAAGACCCTGGGCAATGACGTCTAGGCCTCCTCACTGACCCAGCCTCTGTCTGCTGTCTTTGTGTCTCTTTCTCTGACCTCCAGAGGCCTCCTTTCTCTCTGCCAGGAACAGTACCCCCCCTGCAAGGTCCTCCTTTTCCTCAGCCCTGCGGCCTGCGGCCTCTCCAGTTCTGCTCCACAGCCCAGCTGCCATGCTCTCGCCTCTCTCTCCGGGGCCCCCTGCTTCCCTCCGGTTCTCTTGCTGCCTGTTCTCTCCTTTCACAGGTTGCGTTTATTGTCTTATCTCTGGGGGTTTTGGTGTGCTCTCTTGTGTCTGTGGAAACTGCCAATTGCCCCACAAGACCAGACCAGCTTTGCGCTGCAGGAGCAGGACCATGTGGGCCATCTCGTCCACACACTTTAGAACCAGGTCACACTTTCTGGCTTTGTTCATTAAAGACAGTATTTCTACAACATGCAGGCAGGCTAATGTCAAGGAGGGGACCCACACCTCTGCGTTTGGGAGGCTAACTAGTGGGTAAACCCTCAGGAGGACAGCAAGCTGAGGGCTGGGGAACAGACAGCAGGGGGTGCTGTTGGGAACATAGCCTCAGTTGTGAGAAGCGCTTCAGCCTCTTAGGTGTGCTTGCCTACCTGGGTGGTGGGCCTAGAGGATAGAATGGTTGCCATGCCTCCCCCCAGCCTCCGTGGTGGCACATGAGAATGATGTGTGCTTGTTCCACAAGTCACACTTGCAAATTGAGTCCCCTTTCCTGCTTCACTCCCAGGTTGTGGCACCTTCCATGTGTCACGAGGTGTGGTGAGGCTGGGGGCTCAGGACTGCGGGAGCTCAGGTGCCCCCTCTTCCAAGCCCTTCCTCTACTGCCCACCTCAGGGCAGTGTCCTGGAGGGGAGGGTGGACTAGATGAACTGAGAGTGGGCACATGGGAAGAGGTGTGGCCTGCCCAGTCACGGGAGGCTTCTGCATCACCAGAGCAGTAAGGGTTAAGCAGGGTAGGAACAAGAGGGGCCAGGGCAGGGCCCCTGCATCCCTGCCAGACGGTGTAGGTAGAGGGGGTGCTGAGTGAGGCCAGGCAGAGGTGCAGGGCAGTGGTGTGTATTGTGGCCAGGCCACTAGCAGGTGGGGGATGGAGAAAGTGGGGAGTCAGGAGGTACATGGAAGCAGAGGGCTTAGGAGGGACATAGAATGAACGAATGGAGGCTCCAAGGGAACTGAGGAAGACTCAAGCGTGAGCACTAGAATGGTCCCACAGAGTTGTTGGCTGTCAGAGGCTCAGTTCTACAAAAGTGTATCCCAGGCCCTGGTCCTGGGAGGACACCTAGGCTGTGGGGCGATGTCCAGGGTCGGGGAGCAGGGCAGAGGCAGGCCTATACACTGTCTTAGGGAGCTTCAGTTGAGAAGCTCCTGGATAAGGTACAGAAAGATCTCTGAGGCCTGTCTGTTACAGCATTCATCCACACAGGCCATCCCATAAATGACAAGAGCCAGGGTGGAGAAAATAACGGGAATAGTCAAAGTGATGGTGTTGTGGGAATGTGATAGGTGTTCAGGACCCCTGGAGTTGCTGACCATGGGTTTCCCACAGGACTCAAGTGTGAGGTTGCTCTAGGCCATCGGCCTGAGCCTTGTTCAAGCTTGAGACTGTAAGTTACAGCAAGCACAAAAAGTGGGCCATCTAGGTGACCTGAAGGGACTTATGCCCAGCAGAGAAAAAAAAACCTCAGAAGCACAGTGAGAGTCTATAGTCATTCACTGAGGAAAAATTAAGTTCTTTTGAGTATTCTTTGATTAGGTTAAAGGAAGTACATTTTGAAGATGTCCTCCAGACATGTAAGATGAAGTTAGGTGTATACAAAGTAGGAGTGTCATGCAGCTATGCTGTCCAATAAGGGAGCCATGAGCTATGTATGGCCAGTATAGTTGAGGGACACTGAATGTGTAAATACACACTAGACATTGAAAAACTGAAACAAAAATGAATGCAATAGCTTAGGAATATATGTTGGTTACATACTGAATTGATAAAATCATCATCCTTCAGTATGTGAGGGTTTGGTTCTAGGACACACTCACACCCCCCACCATGAGTAGCAAAATCCACAAGTGTCAAATTCCTTATATGAAATGATATGGTATTTGCTTAGAACTTGTGCACATCCTCCCATATACATTTTAAGATGTAAATTATCTAATCCCAGCATTTGGGAGGCTGAGGCAGGGGGATCGCTGTGAGTTTGAGGCCAGCCTTGGCTACAAAGTGAGCTCAAGGCCAGCCTGAACTGCATAAGGAGACCCTGTCTCAAAAAGATAATAATAATAATAATAATAATAGGTAAATTACCTAACATAACTTTAAAGTTACTTTTAGGTTTGGTTTGGTTTGGTTTTGTTTGCTGGTACCGGGAATCGAACTCACGACTTTGTGCTTGCCCGGCAGGCACTGTGCCACAGAGCTAAATCCCCAGCCCCAGGTTATTTTTCTTTAGAGTACTGAGGATAAAACCTAGAACTTATACATGCTACCACTAAGCCACACTCCCAGCCTGTGTTGATTTTTCTTAGAGATAGGATCTCATTTATGTTGCCCAGGCTGGTCCTAAATTCCTGAACTCGTGATGCTCCTACCTCAGCCTCCTGAGTAGTTTGGACAACAGGTGTGAGCCAGTGCACATAGTTTTCCTGTGTAATTTCTACAATACTTACAGTTTTTACTCTAATGTAAGTGCTGTGATTTGGTAAGTAGTTGTCCTGTCGTTTAAGGAACATTGACCAGAGAAGCAGTCTGCATGTTCTGTACAGGTGCATTTTTTTTCAAGTGTTTTTTGATCCATGGTTGGTGAACCTGTAGATGTCAAACCCACAGACACGGAAGGCTGACAATATATGGGGTATCTTGGGTTAATCAGAATATGTGATTGAAGTAATTTCCTATTTCTTTTTAGTGTGACTACTAGAAAATTGTAAATTATATATGTGGTTTGGATCCTATTCCTGTTGGAAGTGCTGCTGCAGCACTTCCATGATGGCACTTTCTTCACAGGCCAAGGAAGGGTTGTGTGTGTGTATTTTGTGTGTAAGAGCACACACGTATGCATGCGTGTACAGGGAAGGGGTTGCTGTGCACATCCACATGAAAGAACACCTTTCAGGAAGTGTAGGCTGAGTTAAGTACTCAGGAGGGTATCCATCCTGCATTTTTGTCTTTGCCGCTAGGCCTGTGTGTGTCCTTCAAGTATTAATTAGCCACTGTCACTGTGTGGCCAGAGGGCAGCAGTACTAGCTGGTGGCAGCACAGATCCTCTGGGGCTGCCCTGGCTGCCCACCCTTCCTGGTCACCAGACCCTGCCCCCAGCCTTGGGGGGGTGGCTGTGTGCTTTGCTTGAGGAGCTGATTGGTCCCGTCCAGGGCAATTTGCATGCGTGGGAAGGTTTAGGGTGGTTTGCCGTGCTCCTGCCATCCAATGTGCTGCAGACCTGATGCCACCTCACCCTGCCTGCAGCGGACCCCCTGGAGAAGAATCTGTCAGGTTTTCCTACAGGCTCCATAATTCTCAAGCTCTCCTTGTCCCCTTCTGTTTTTATCCTCCTGACACTAATGTTTGCTGGCCCATGTCCCTAGGAGATGGTGAGTCCACCATAAAAGAAGAAAGTCCACACTCCAGGACCAATAGAAGGGATGAGAGAAGCAGGGCACACTGGGGATTTATTTTTTTTGTTTTTGTTTAGACAGGATCTTGTTATGTAACCCAGGCTAACCTTGGAACTCCTAGGCCCAAAGGATCCTCCTGCCTTAGTCTCTTGAGTAGCTAGGACTATGTGTGTATGCCACACATAGGTATACTAGGGTTCTTTATAAATCCTCACTCCCCACCAGCTCTGCCTCACCAGCCAGCCAAGTGTACAGGGCATGGTGAGTTGAGGCTCACAAAGGTCACTCCAAAGGTAAATAACCGGTGGTTCCTGCCTCACACACTCCCTGGCTTTTGGACTCCCCAAATCATGACAGGTGGCTGATAGGCTAGTACATTTTAGGGCTTTGCTGCTTCATGTGTTCACAAAATGCTGAGGGGTCACCAGGTGGTTTCAGGGTAAAGAGCACTCGTTTTTTGAAGAGACCTAAGCCAGGATGTTTCGCATATTCATTGATGTGTGTGTGTCTTTGGCATGTAAGAGGGCGTTCTTGGGACTGGGCCTGGGAGCATCAGTTGCCATGGCCCTCCTACCCCATCTGACCCTTAAGCCCTGCTACAAGGGAGCTGGGCTTGACAAAGCTAGGCTTGCCATATTGAGATGCAGCTTGAGCCTCCCCATCAAGTCGCTGCAGACCGTTCTCCTTGGGCCTGCAGCCACACTCTTGACCTCCTTCTCGATGCATAACATGAGCAAGCCTGAAGTGACAGTGTCCCAGCTGACAGTGGAAGCATGTGATTCCTGAAAGGTTCCAAGAATGATATAGAGGCTGTGGGTATAGCTCAGTGGCACACCACCTGCCTGGCAAGCGCAAGGTTCTGAGTTTGATTCCCAGTACAAAAAAAACCCAAACAAACAAAAAACCCAACCAAGAATGATACAGAACTGGATAAACAGGCTTGTTTTGTTATTAGATTCTTCAAGTGCTGAGGATGATAGCCAGGGCCTCACACTTGCAAGACAAGTGAGCTGCCACAGAGCTACATCCCCAGCCTTAGATTGTTTTCTTAATGTCGTCTATGGCTCAGAGTTACATTGTTGATTTACGTTGGGTTTAGGAGCCCTGTCAAGTTTTTGTTCTGTTTTTGCAGTACTGGGGATTGAACCCCGGTCCTTCACTCTGAGCTACATCCTCAGCCCTTTTTTTAGTTTTTTGAGACGGGGTCTCACTAAGTTGCTAGGCTGGGCTAGAACATGTTATCCTTGTGCCTCAGCTTCCTGGAGTGCTAGAATTATAGGCATGTACTGGCAGCCTTGTCAGATTTAAAGATGAAAGCACGTCATCTCAGTTTCCACAGGGGTCTAGCCAGTGTCCTGAGCAGAAGAAAGGAAACCCGGGTGTGTGGCAGGCTGAAGCAAAGCTGGCTTTAGTCAAGCCCACTTGTAAGATCTGCCCTGCCACTTGCAGAGCAGGGGCTGTGAGCCAGGCAGGACTCACACCTGAGCCATCAAGAAATGCCCCTCCCCGTGAGCAGGTGGGCACAAGGACTGGGTCACTGCTGTGGGCAGCAGGTATGCTCACATACCTGGCCCAGACTTCAGAGGGACTGCGGCCTCTAGGACACCAGCATGTTGAGGGAGATGCTGCAGAATGGTAGGACATGTCCACCTGTCAGAGATGGGAGCCATACCCACTAGTCATTGTTGGGGACCAGGATCATGGCTGTTTGTACCAAAGGAAATGTGTGTCCACTCCTTTCTGCTTTGTGGTATTCATGAATCACTGGTAGTCTGAGTGGGCCCAGTATCACCCCACCACATGCTCCTGTCCACCCTGCTCTTCAGCTATGGCAGACCATTACTATGTCTTTTTATTTTTTTCTGTTTTGAGGCAGGGTCTCACTTTGTAGTCCAGGCTGGCCTTGAACTCACTATGTAGCCAAGACTGGCCTCTTAATTCTGGTGATCCTCCTGCCTTAACCTCACAAGTGCTGGGATTCCAGGCATGCACCACCACGCCCAGCCATTACTGTCTTTTCTAAATCTATCATATACAACACTTGAATGTGAAGCCCAGGTAGGTGAGGCAAGGGATTTTTCCTCCTTTCCTGGGGATTGAGCCCAGGGTCTTTGGGCTGAGCTGTAATCTCCAGCTTGTTTTTGATACACAGTCTCATTAAGTTGCCCCAACAGGCCTTGACTTGTGATCTCCTGCCTCAGCCTCCCCAGATGGTGGGATTGTGGATGTGCATCACCACACCTGGTAAGGCAGCACAGAATTGAAGGTGGGGGTGAACTACTAGCATTCTGAACATGGCACCATGTTAATCCTCCCCACCCCACCTAGCAGCAAAGAGCCCAGAAATTATTCTCCCATAAATCCTCTTGAAGGCCATCCTGTCCCTGCAAGAATCTGGGAAATGGTGAGCCTAGAATGTAAGCTGTAAGAACCCCCAGAGGAGCCACGGTTGCCAGTGACTCAGGTACAGGAGCCTCGACTCACTTGCTGGATGTGACAGACGGTGAAATGGAAATGATCTCTGTCAGGCTGTAGGACATAGTTTTGTATCTTTGCTTCAAGAACATAAAATTCCTTTTGCAGGCTGTCTGATTAAAATTGATGAAGAGGCCAGGGAAGAACTGGTGTCAAAGGGCCAAAGCCAAAGCTGGAGTTGCCCCCAAAGCAGCAGCAGGCGAGTTCCTGTAAGGGATGGCCCCACACCATCCTGGGGAGAGGCCAGCTGGGATTCCTAAGTATTTTTAGAGAACTTACAGAGGAGGGCTGTAGTATGTCCTGGAGACAGACTGAAGCGGTTACCTAGGCCTGTCCATGGGAGGGAGGGGGTCAGCATATATTTATATGAAGTGCAAGGGACCTGGCTTTGACCAGGGCTAGTTTCCAAGTGGTTAGCAACGTATTTGAGCTTTTGATATTTCAGGCACCAACCTAAATAAGTTGATCAGTGTCTCAGAATGCTTAAGGTCTGCAGGAGAAAACATGCAGCTGGCTAGGCCACAGAAAAGTCAAGGCATTATTTCTTAGGACAAAGAAAAAACAGGGTAGGGACTTGGAGAACCCTGTACCATTGGTCAGGGAGGGGACACATGCTCTGGTAAGAGCTTTCAGGGCAGACTAAGCCAGGCTTGACAGGAGACCAGCTGTCCATGTGGGAGGAACTGAACCCATGGGCAAGCCTGCTCCTGGACGTGTGTTGTTGCTGTAGGGTCCTCTGTCTTACAGATGCTGTCACCACCCTTGGCTTTGCCCAAGTGTGGCTGCAGATCCTTCTGGCTATCTTCATAAGAAAGATAAGAGTAAGCAAAAAAAAAAAAAAAGTTACATGTACAGGTACAAATTCTGATCACTATGTATATCTAAAATGTACCAATAAAATCAGGATTGAAAAATAAATAAACTGTCCACTGGCAAGAAAGACACTTTTGCAGCTACAACATGAACTAGTTTTAAAAATGTCATGTTTATTGAGCACTTACTATGGATCCTACACTGTACTGAAGATTTTATATGTAGATAATCTTTAATCCAACAATCTAAACGTAAAACGTTATTGTTATCTGGATAATGCAGCAAAGAAGACAGACAGAGATATGCTTGTCCAGTGTCTAGACTTGTAGCCATGTATAAAGCCGCTCTCAAAAGTAAATCAGTAAGTGCCTGCCTGGCAAAGATGAGGCTCTGAGTTCGATTCCTGGTACCAAAAAAATAAATCAGTAAGCCCTGATTTATCCCATTTGCTGAGTTCCACAGTATAAATATTCCTACTGTGGCTAATCAGTGTCTGATTTTGGAGTTAGAAGGGCTGTGCAGAGGTGGCGCTCAGGTGGGGGTATGAGCCAAGTGTAGCATCCTGTGCTCTGAATCACCCAACCACACCATCCAGCTTGCAGTCCTTTCTACTGTTCTCCTGTTTAAAGAGGACAGATGTTCCTCTTCCTGAAGGGATGTCATCCTACAGCAGCTAAAAAGTAGGAGAGAAGGCAGGAGTCCAGAGATAGAAAAGGGGTTGAGGAATACAAGTCACAGAAAGCATGCTTATTCTCTGCCGGGTCCCAAATATTAACCAGTCAGGAGATGAAAGGAAGGAACAACTCAGATATTTAAAGTGACTTAAGTTCATTCTCAGAGATGGGAAAATTATAACTCAGAACCACCCACTTCCCAATGATTCTAGGCCTCATGTTGCTGTTTCCATTGCTGTCTGCATTCCTGGTCCACCCTTCCAACCCCCACCTTCCAACTTTATCCTTCCTTTTGGTGCCTAGAATGAACACCTTAAGTTAATGCAAATTGGAAGCTTATAGGGGTTGTTTGGAATCAACTTTTTTTCCAGTGCTGGGGACTGACCCCAGGACCTTGTACATGCTAAGCAAGGGGAAAAAAAAAAAAAGTATAGATCAATGACTATATGAACCAGTGGGTTTAATCAGGGTGACTGTCTGGTAGACAGTTTCTGCTGGAACCCAATTGTGGAATTAGTAGCTAAACCCAAGAGCACAAGGCTTGAGCATTGTGTTCGAAGGGTGCTCTAGGAAACAAGGGGAAAATCTATTCAGAAAGAGCTGTCAAAATCATAACCCTGGCTGTAGTCCTTAATGAGTGCTCTACTTTCTGGCAGAGTCTAATGGAGGCAGTGGTGACAGCTGGGTCAGTGTTAACATGCAGTGGGGGAGAGACAGTGAGTTCCTTCTGCCATCTGCTGGGGGACAGGCAGATTCCATGTGCTGTTCAGGGCAGCAGACCCACTAGGGAACCATAGTGTTTGTCCTTTCAGAGCATTCCAGCTCTGGCTCTGAGACACCTAGAAAGCGTCCTGCACACTTTCAAGGGCTTTCTCTGAAATACACTAATTTAGGCAGTTCAGGACCCCTAGGCTGATACGGGGTTGTTGGCTGTAACAGCTTACACACTAACACATGTAAATGTTGTTTAAGGGACCAAATATTGTAGGCATGTTGCAGTAAGAGAGCTTGCCCAGGTTCCTAACACTCATGTGGTTCTGTCTTCTCAGGGAGGAATAGAGGCGGCCCTGCTCTCGGTGGAGTACCCACACTGGCGGAACGCAGCAGCCGGGAAGGATCGAGCCAGAGGATGCCCCGCCAGCCCAGTGCTACCAGGCTGCCCAAGGGGGGCGGGCCTGGGAAGAGCACCTCTCGCAGCAGCACATAGCGGGGGCAGAGACTGCTTTGCCCGCTTTCTGGGCACCATCATTCTCTCAACAGAGGCTGCATGCTGTTTCCTTCTGTTAAACCTTTCCAAAAAGTGGATGGTCGGGATTAGACATTCTCTATCAGTTTTTAGATGTATTAAAGTACAAAGACTGCTGGGCACTGAGGCATGTGCCTATTATTCCAGCTGCTCAGGAGGCTAAGGCAGGACTGCGAATTTGAGGCCAGCCTGGGTAACTGAGCAAGACCTTGTCTCAGAAAATAAAAAGAGATAGGGAAGTAGCTGATAGAGTATGGAAACTAGCTGATAGTACGGAACTAGCTGATAGAGCACTTGCTTAGCACGTGTGAGGCCTTGGGTTCAACTCTACTACTGTAAAAAGAGCAAAGCATAAAGATTTATAATTTATAATGAGTACTGTATACTGGTCCTGGTTCTGTTTAGCCAAAACAAGGGGCCAAAACCAGTAACTGCCTTCTTGAGCCTGGTTTCAGGGCATGAGAGAATATATACACCGCCGGATCTTTTAGAAACAGGTGAAAAAGACTGCCTTGAAGTGAAAAGTGTGGTGTTCCCTGCCGTGACTGTTTGGAGCATTGGTGGCCACAGATGGCAGTGGGTGAGCATGGAGGGAGAACAGTGTCTCCAAATGACCATGCACAGGGAGGTCGGGGGAGATGTACTGTGACCCTCTGTGGGTCACGAGATCCCTTTCCAGGCTGAAGCAGGAGGATCACAAGTTCAAGCCCAGTCTGACAACTTAATGTAAGACCCTATCTCAAAATAAAGAATTAGCTGTATGTGGTAGTGCACACCTGTAACTCCAGTCTTTGGGAGGCTGAGGCAAGAGGATTTTTGCACGTTCGAGACCAGCCCGGGCTAGAAAGTGAGCTCAAGCCCAGCCTAAAGTGCATAGTGAGACCAAAAAAAAAAGGCTGGGAAGCCAGACAGGGTGACACAAACATGTAATCCCGGCACTTGGGAGGTATAGGCGGAAGGATCACTGTGAGGTTAAGGCTGGCCTGAACTATATGGCAAGGCCTTAAGCTGGGTGTGGTGGCATGTGTCT